AAATACCGAAAGACAAACGGACTGTGCAGAGGGTGTATACCAGCGAAGTTATCGAGGTCGACCGCGATGTGAGTCTCATAATGATCGTGCCCCCGGCCGAGGTGGCTTGTGCGGTCGGGGAGGGCAACCAGTCAGCCGTCCACCTGCACCGGATCGAGCTGGTGCCACTAAGCGTTCAGGTGTTCGAGATGATACACTTTGGCACGTACAGAGCGGAAACGCTGCTCCTGTACGCCCGCCTTTCCAGTGTAGTGCAGCTGGACTCAGACGATGCGAGGTACTCGATCAGACAAGCGTGGAGCTCGTCTGACCTGGAAACGGCCAAGCAGAGATTGGACACCGTGGAGTCACTGGAGACGGGCTTAAACGCCGCGTGGAAACACTTGCGGTGGCTTTTGGATGTGATGAACTTTGCGCGCGAGCGACTGTTCCAGTCGCAAATATCTAACTCCAACTGTTCAAAGAGTGCCAGCAACAGTCAGCTGGAAATGAAGTCCGCTAAAAGTAACTCGGTAAACGCTCCCTGCCACCGAATATCTGACTATTCGACCGTTCGGTATATAGTAATTCTAACCTAGGCATTATTTTTACAGTTGTTACAATTGCCCGACTCAAAATTGGTCAAGTCCCGGGGTAGTTGGCCGGGCCCGGGATTGAACTCCATGCGGACCCTGGAATCTGTGTGTCCGGAGATAAGTCGCAGTGAACAATACCTATCGCCACCTGTCCACGACCGAGAGTACGTCTTGGCTAAAAAACAGAGTTGCTCCTCAGAAACAAGCAACGGTACGCTGATAGTTTTACAAGCTTCACCAGATTTTTATTTGTACGAATTTGTCTCTGATTTGGTTACAGACAGTAAAGACGAACCGGAGTATAACGACGGGCATTCTTCAGATCCAGCCGATCTATCGTCGAAGTCCAATCACGTGACGTAAGTTTATCGATAATGCAATAATAACTACGCGTATGCCGTGCAGTAACATCGATAGACTCGATCTTGACAATACTATGTTGAAAAGGTACATTTAATTTGTTTTCACGTATAGGGTTAAGGACGTCAATAAAGTGGACGATGAAGGGTTTTCTGATGCTACCATGAAGAGCGAATCTCTTGTGCCCGTCCCCGCTCCAGGGATCATCGAGGTAAGTGGTTTTTGTAAACAGTTGGGCGTGGAGCCTGGTATACACAAATATCGGTTGGTCTTACGATAACCATGGTTGTTGTCACACAGGTTTGCGCTGCGTACGACACCGGTCTGCCACACCCTACCAGCCTGAAGTTGCACATCAGTCCGACGACGTCAGCCCGCGAAGTAGTCCAGCTGTTCCTGCAGCAGCTGAACATGTCCGTGTTGGTCAAAGGAAAGACTGGACCAATATACCCGAGCACTGAATTTGGTAACTTTTGTCTGGTATCTGTTACCGGGGCCCGGGAGCGGTGTTTGCGTGATGACTTCAAACCGCTTCAGTTGACCCACCCGTGGCGAGATGGCCGCATGTACATTCGGCATAAACAGGACGTGCTAGCTGCTCTCGAGCTCCACTCGTCCATACTGGCGGTAGCTGCCACCAAACACCACTGATGACGACCACCATTGAATATTATTATTATTATTATTATTATTATTATTATTATTATTGTATATTATTATTATTATTTGATGATTTATTCATGTGCCATGCACCTCAGGTGAAATTTTAAGTGTTCTTAAAACATACGAGCAGAGTGTTTTTTTTTTAATCATTTAACTAAAAATATATATTATACTATATTATATTATGATATATCATCAAAGTATTGATTTATTCAATCATCAATACTACAAAATGTATCTTATACTGCATAATATAAACAAAACCTAAACGAGTTAAGATATTTAGATTATCACATACCGTTCGACCTGTCTATTAAACTACAATATGTTATTGTAATTGAATAAATGTTTTACTTTTTATATTATAATATTTAAATAGCATTTCAAGAAATGCCACCATATAGTGTTCCGATATGTTGAACATCTCAAACAGCTATAGTTAAATATTTCTGTCTATACGATAAAAAGTGAAAAGTAATGAAATATTATTATTTTTTTATTGTTCTGCAGTAGCTGAGCAAGTATACATATTATTTGTTTTACCGTAGCTTATTAGAAATTGGTGTAAACAAGGATGAATTTCAGTATCTTGCCATTAATAGTCATATCATTAGTTTAACAGAAACTTACTATGGACTGTGATTGTACGATTTAGTTTAAAAGCAGTGTTGAGACTTATCTATAAAAAAATTACTCATATATTATCTAATCTAGATAACTATTGTGACATTTATCTATTATTTATCTTAGATGACATATTTACTTATCTAGATATATTTTATTTAAGTCCTGTACGCGGGGACCAATTTGGATTTACTTTTTGTAACGATCCGAGGCCCGATTTCGGATACGCCGGATTACACTACATAATGATTTGAACTGGGCGAACTGACGGGCCACTGTTTGAGGGCCCACCAAGAGCCCGTGGTACACGGACCTAAATCTTGTAAGGATCACAGCCGAGGCTTCGGCCGACGAAGCTCGGTCCGACCATCCAACCAATGATGTGCCCACCGAAAGGGGGCGAGAATGGTACTTCGGGATGTGGGGGGGCCCCACGGTGCTGAGCAATTGGCATCGTGCCCCCATACGACGATCCCGCATCGATAGATGCGTGACCGATGGCGGTTTGGTTTCGAAGTGGCTGTTAGCAGGAGCTAACCATGTGGTTAAAAGACCAAGCTCGGTTTAGGGAAAGGCTGCCGAGTGAGTATACCTCCTTAGCGCCCACCCAGCCTACCGGTGGGGCTATATGCACCGGAGGTTGCCCGTGACCAAAAACGGGAAGCAATGAGGATAGCTTGCGATCCCACCTGGATGGTGAAGCGCACGTGAATGCGCCAGCCAACGGTACGGGCGCTATCTCTCCCGACTTCGGTGGGAACGGGTGTGCGCCCGGTGCTCGTGGTCCATAGACGACGCGCGGCCGGCTTGCCGACCGTGAACCTCCGCGGCTCTTGACTAGCGCACAGCGCTAATATAAGCTCCGTGGTTGTAGCCGAAAGGCACTAAAAACCCAGGAATCTACATGTTTGTTTACCAAAATCTAAGTCCATGCATATTGCATATAAAAAATCAACCGGATGCAAACGTTGACCGCCAAAATCATACACCCTAAATTACTAGACAAGCACTGTGTTTAACAACAACATTACGAGCGGCGTAATAACACATCTCAGTGATGTAGGCTGCCCATACGACAATAGTCTATATATATACGAGTGTCTTACCCTACTACCCCACCCTACGAGGAATTGAGTACTCAAAAAACTCCTTTATCTGTTGTTACGCTCTCCATACACTAACTGATTGTCTAACAGTATAAGATCCATGGACAAAATCCGGTCGTCTGTTTGGTTTCTATGGTAATAAACAATAATCGATTCGTCGTATTAGCTTACCTCTGTATAATAATAATAAATTAATTTCAATGAAACATTTTATTTTTATTTTTCCATTACAAACTCATTTTTATACCTTGATGAACCTTCTTCGCATACCTACCTAATATGTAAAGAAATTTCCCTCTATTTAAGCGTGGTATTGCAACACGTGCGATTTTTTTTTATTTCATCCATTTTCCTTTATTTTATAAGCATCATGTATTTTTATGTATTATTGAGTTAACAATTTATATTGAAATTTATTTTATTAATTCCAATCTATTGATTTTATTATTTATATATCTGTCCATTTCTTTTTTTATAAATATTTCCTGGTTTTTAGACTTAAGTCTGTACTTTAAAATTGTATATAATATATGTTTCAATTTGAAATTATTTTAATACATCGATGAATTGAAGGATTTTTAGCTGTGTGGAATGTTGGAATATAGTTAATTGTTGATTTATGGGTGTGTGCCACTTACCTAGAATGTCAGCAACCAATTCGGATGTGTGCTGCCAGGAATGACGGGAACCAATTATTAATTTATAATGTTTGGGTATGGAAACCAATTTTTGGATGGATCCATGTAATCGTAATACATAGTTGTTTATATGGTATTCATCACGGTCTTAGATGACCGTGGTATTTAGTACAAACTATAAATATATTTTATACATAGTTATATGATGATAAATTTTTTCAATAGACGTATTTATTTATCTATTTGTTTAATGTTTACATTAGGCTTTGTTGTTCACATTATATTGTAGTAGTTAACAGAGAAATTAAATTCAAGTCAAATAAAATCAATTGCTCAGATTTATCTTAATGCTCTAAGTGCACAATCAAACATAGACTCCTAGCGTATTCACTATTCACGTTATATAAATGTGTCTAAAATATTGTTTAAAGATATTGTTTTATTTTAAAAACATGTACAGTATTACAATGTATAAAAGTTTTGTCAAATTATCATTACACAGCTTAAATTCTGGAGAAGTGATGATATGTTGAGTTTAGATTAAAAAAAATCGGCAAGAATCATTTAATCGGAAATGCTCAGAGTATTGTTGATATTACAATATCCTTTGTCATTTTGTGTTATTCCTTCAATGAGTTAATCACGAATTACTTATTAGCAACATAAATAAACTCCATAACATCTAAAATGTTCTGTTCACACTCCCACACATTTGATTCTAGGATTATAATAAAATTACAAACACATCCTACACAAACTACTATAGAGACATTATAAATCGAATCAAAATCGGTTCAAAACCACATCATATTATACGCACTAATATATTTTATACATTGCGTTATATTTATTATGATAACATAATATTATGTGTAAAATATTTTTTATAGTATAAGTTAAATATTGGTTTTATTCTAGTTTGTGGCTGATAGTATTAATTTTTACTTTTACGTGGGTATACGAATATTATCAATAGCCTATTAAAAGACGAAGGGCATTGATAATATTATTTTAATTATAATAATAATATTTTATTTAACTATGTATTATTATGGTGAGTGTTATCCATATAACATAGTACACCGTGATTTAATAATACAATTAATTTGACACTAAAATATTTAAAGCACACATTAAGATTTTATCTCTTTAGTTTTTAATTTGGAAACGGTGTCTTTTTTCAAAAAAGAACTCGTTATTCAGCAAGTTGTACAAATCATATTTTCTGTGACTGCAGTTGAGCGCTTCTCTAACACAAATCGTGTGCACAATAATGGTATTTATGTGAATTATTGCATTAATAAGTTAGTTACTTAAGTCTATAGTTGGTACTTTAAGGGGACAAAAGTCAAAACTTCTAGTACTTTGCAAACCAACAAAATGTTAAAGAAAAGTAAGGATCTCATAGAAAATCAGTTTCGACAAATAATTTAATATTTTTGATGTAACTCCAAAACTAATAACGGAAGATAGGTGTTTTAAAATTTCACGAAATGTTTGAATTGCAATTTTCTATAGTTTATAATATTTTGACCCTTTTTTGAGCAGTTTTTTACCTATGAGATATTTTCGGTTTTTTCAGCTATTGTTGATAACATTTTTTTGCTTTATCAAAAAACTTGAAAACCTAATACATGATAGGTCCTTAGAAGTTATTACTAGAGAAAATTAAGAAAAAAGATGAGCGAGAAATCTGCAATAACTTTTATGAGGGACTGAAGTATGAATTTTGAAAAATTTCATCAAGATCATGAATATTTGCAAATTATTTTGAGTTGCTTAGTCTTAGCATTAATGTTATAATATATTTTCAACTACGAAATTATTTAAAAATATACACCGATTTAATGGATTTTGTCAAAATTCAATGTTTTTGTAAAACTTCAAATGCTTAAAAAAAAAAAATGTTTAAATATGTATACTAGCATGTCGATAATAAAAATTTATGAGGAACCTTATATACAATTTTCAATCTTTTTGACTATGCGAAATTTTGTTCATCGACAATTTTAGTGAGAAAGCTAAAAATAATTAAATTTAACAAAATTTATTAAAACTTGAATTGTACCACAAAAAGAGCAAAAATATTTTAAAAATAATAGTATGCATAGAAAATGTTCCCGATTCCTTAATTCTCCAACGAATATTTTTCATAGAACTTAGTATATTTTTCAAATACTGAATATCATAAACTGTTTATTGAAAAAAAACTAAGCATCAGATATCAAATATAGGGAGAAATCATCCACACAGTTATCCACACATAGTCTCTGCAAAAATGGTTTTGGATTATAATAAATTAATGCCTCAGTTGTGTATTTATGCATTATTATATTATATAAGTGTATAGTGTTTTTTTTATATCATAATAATATTTATCTTGATTTATTTGAAAAATAAAGCTGGAAGGAGTCTTTAATAAAATAATTGTTTATAGATTAACAATATTATAATATGGAAAGTAAAACTTTTGAACAGCGCAGTAGCTGGTAGTAGAAAGTTGTGCAAACATAAAACCTATTTCAACCACAATTATATGAATGGACTATTTTTAATTGTATATACGATGGTAAGTACGAATACTCATTACAAATTTTAATTTAAGAACAGTGAAAATATTTTGTTTTGTTATTGACATGTTCATTAAAATATATGTTCAAATATTAATTTAGAATTTTAATATAATAATTAAAAACATCGTGATAAGCGCTTTGCGCTACTCTACACAAAGTTGTATTAGAAATATAAAAAAAATTTTAAGAATAATTTTGAAATTATAGGTATGAATAAAATAGATTTGAAGATAAATACAGAAATATAATAACAGTTTTGGTCATAAATTATCAGATCGTTCTTTGCATGTAGTTAGATCAGTAGGTTTCTAATCAGTGGTCCGTGACCGCTTGGAGGCTTATGAGATTTTGTCTTTCTGGTCATACACACACTCAATATAATCGGATATTTATTAATATTTATTTCCATTAACATTACTATCATAGATGTTATTGGATTGTTTCTAATAAAATAAAAGAAACTCTTTTGTAAAAAAAAATGTTCAAATGTCAATATAAAATGTAGGTAAAGAAATTAAACATTTTTTTCTCATGAATCGAATGTCCGCCTTCAAAGATAATTTTAACTGGAGCCCGTTTTCCACAAAAGGTTAAGAACCAGAGAGTTAGAAAATTATAAATTCATTCTATCAATAACAGTAAAAAGTTTGATATAAATTTCATTCAAAATATTATTAAAAAATGACTATATTATGTATAATAATTAAGTACTTAAAATGTAAGTGTAGAATAATAATTATTTTTGGTTTCTATAGGCTTTGATGTTTCCATCACATATTAGCACACTTGAAACGGAGTCTAATAAAATCAGGTGCTCAGATTCAATGACGTGCACCAAATGTACAATCAAACCAATGTGTGCATGGTCTCTTAAACAACAAGCTTGTGAAAACAAGAACACATTTGCCTCGTCGAGTTTAATTTCATCTAGAATAGGAGAATGTCCTCAGTATTCAGTGGTTACAAAATATGAATATAGTAATATAACACACATTTATGTAGATATCTTTCTTAAAATAACGAATGATTTAGTAGGTTTCGTGAATTATATTAACAGCAATACAATGTATTACCAAGTTCAAAATTCTTTTACAGAACCAGTTAATAGAATCAATGAAACGAATATAAATTACTCGTTCGTTTTCCGAAGAAAATTTTTAAATGTTAATACGCCATCGCTCACTCTTTTTGTATTTCTTAAGTTCAATGATGTCATGCTGCGGTTTGACAACGTTGCAGATAACTATGTTACGGTTTATGAACACGAGGAATGTGTAACCGACGATAAGTATAAATCCTGTGCTACGTGCGGATGGAATATCGACGGATACTCGAACTATTTGAGGTGGTGTCCCTCCGAGAATACCTGCAAAGTTAGCAAGAATTTATACATGAAGAACAGCGCTACAAATGAGTTACATGAAAAGGTAGCGTACGTGACGAATGATTGTGCCGAAATAAATGTAACGGCAGTCGACCCACTGTCTGGGCCGAAAACCGGTGGAACGACGGTAACGATTATAGTTAGGAACCACAGGATATTCATGGAGAATCGATCGTTAAAGGTAATGGTGGCTGGAACATTGTGCATGAATCCCAAGACGTCTGGAATCGAGACTATAACCTGCACTACTTCACAGCCATCTGGAACACCATCCGGTCCGGTCCTGGTTGAGTACTCATCAATCGAAGGCGTATTGAAGATCGAGTCGTCGCAAAGATTCCAATTCTGTTTCAACCCCGTACTGGACGCGAACCAAACACTTGTAGGCGTAATGTCCGGTGGCACTTCCGTGCTGGTCCGTGGTGGTCATTTCGTTGAACCTTGCATTGTTTCCTCTGTCCGGCTGTACGTTGACCTGCCCGACGGTGTCAGATGGTACGCAGATAGTTATTGTGACACACCGATTAACGACACATACATGGTTTGCCGTTCGCCAAGAATGAACTGCGCTCATTGGGACGGTAATATGAAGGTGGTGGGACGACTGTTTAATTTTGGGCTGATGAAATTCACTGAAAATCAGCCGCTACACATCAACGGGACGTTACTTAGCTTTTATGTGAACCCGGATCCTGTTCTTGAGAAATTCATAATAGACGAAAATGGTTCAATAGTCATCAACGGCCTTAACTTAGAACATCTCCGTCTAGATGATATCGTGGTACGGTTTCTTAATTCATCGGATACCGATTGCGTAGTAATATCAATTAAATTAGAACTTATTATATGCAACCCAACCACGGCAATCAACCCAGATAAGTTGCACGAGATTTTAGTCAATATTGGAGATTCTTTGTCGTACACATTAGCCAATAGATCACCGACACCTATCGTTGGTCCTTCCAATCTTCTGGTTTCCGAATATCCGTCCATACTTCTATACTCAAATGAAACTAGTTGTTCAGATTCAATGACGTGTACCAAATGTACAATCAAACCTATGTGTATATGGTCCCTTCAACAACAGGCATGTGAAAACAGGACTCAATTTAATTCTTCTGGTTTCATAGTCGTTAGAATAGAGAAATGTCCACGGTTTTCAGTAGTTAAAGAATTTAACTATGATAAATCAACCGTTTCCCTGAAATACATTGTTAAGTTATCTAATGATATGGTAGGTGTCAGAAATTATTTTAACGACATTGTACTTTATAACAGATTTCCAACATATTGCAAATATCCAACACGACAAGTTAACACATATAACGAAACAATTATATCGTGTGATTTTTTTGTAAAGAAATTATATTTTGATCATAATAATCCATCTTACACTTTTTTCACTTTTATTAAATTCAATGACGTAATTCTGCGGTTTGATAACGTCGCAGATCACTATGTAACATTTTATGGGCATGAAGAGTGTGCTAACGACGAGAAGTACAATTCATGTGCTACCTGCGCATGGAATAATGATGGGTACTCGCACTACTTGATATGGTGCTCTTCCAACCACACTTGTCAGGTTAATAAAAATGTATATATGAAGAACAATGGTTATGAACAGTTAAGCTTAAAATTAACGCACTTGACAAATAATTGTGCTGAAATAAACGTTACGGCAGTCAATCCGCTGTCTGGACCAGAAACCGGTGGCACGACCTTAACAATCACAGTTAGGAACCACAGGATATTAGCAGATAACCGAACGGTAATGGTGACGGTAGCTGGAACAGTGTGTGTGAATCCGAGGACGTTGGGACCAGAAACTATAACTTGTACTACATCACAATACAACGAAACATTGTCGGGTCCGATTCTGGTCGAGTACACATCCATTGAAAATGTACTGAAGATTGAGTCATCTCAGATATTCCAGTTTTGTCTTAATCCAGTATTGGACACTAACCAACAACTTGAAGGCATAGCTTCGGGTGGCACTTCCGTACAGGTCCACGGTGGTCATTTCGTTGAATCATGCTTCCCATTTTTCGCCCGACTGTATGTCGACCTAGCTGATGGAGTCAGACGGTACGCAGACAGTTATTGTGATCCACCAGTCAACGAAACGTACTTGGTCTGCCGATCACCGAGTGTGAACGGCGCTAGCTGGGACGGGGATGCATCGGTTGCGGGGCGTTTTCTGAACTTCGGACTAGATATCACATTCAGTAACGATGATTTCTCTGTGAATCAAACGCTGCCAATCGTGGTTAGTGGCCCATTACTCAGATATTACGTACAACCCGATCCAGTTCTCTTAGACTTTGAAATAGACACAAGCGGTTCACTAGTTGTCAATGGCCTCCACTTGCAGCATGTTCAGCCCAAAGACATCATGATACGGTCAGTGGATTCATCGTCCTCAGTTTGTGTAGTCGTATCGGTAACACAACACAGTTTGAAGTGTGAGCCGACCATGAATGTCACTGAAATTTCCGTCACATTAGGAAATTCGTTGGTGTTCACGGGGATCAAGAAAACATTGTCTCTTCACGAGGATCCATCCAAACTTCCTAGCTGGTTCCTCGCGATCATTGCCATGTTCACGGTACTGGTGTTTGTCTGTGCCTTAACTTGTTGCTTAAGAATGAAATATCGTAATACCGCAACGGAAAATATTCATAACCCGTCGGTGGCATTCACAAGATCACAGGACCTAGATAAACATACCGCACTATAATTTTGAATAGTTTTATTGGTAGTGTATATTTGTTAGTTGTTATTAAAAATACATTAATATTTAACTTTAACGATTGGTTTTTTACACGTCATTGTACATAATATACACACTGTACAAAATTAAAACATTTGATGTTGATGTTCTAATTATGGTTCCAGATGGAAATATTCGATTGAGCACATATAATTGAAGCTTTAGAGATTCCAAGAAAGAATTTGTATCTTAATTTCCTTGCTCATTTATATCTCTAAATAAAGAAATTATAACTCAAAATAGTTAAGAGAGTTCAATGTATGTTTGTACCTTATAAGAGTATATTTCTATCATACTATATGTATTGTTTTTATTAACTATGGATACTATCCCAATATACCACCTAACCTTTAAACAACGTAAATACTGTGGTATCACCCATCTACCGTACAGCGTACACACATTAAATCCTACAATACACCTTACCTCCTTACACTCTAAGTTAATAACTCTTTCTAGTACAGTTAAGTTGAGGTCAGGGCACTAGGTACATTAGGCACATGTAGTGGCTAGCAAGTCTTTACATTACATATTATGAGTATCTACCTTTTTCTACAACTATTATTTTTAAATTAGTTGTGCACGTCTACAGGCACAACCCTTTGATTTATTTTATTGTTGGTCCAAAAGGGCCATACCATAATTCATCAAACCACAACCTTTTATTTAACTAATTTTATTGATCTACTGTTGAATTATGTGTTGGCTGTATTTTTATTTATTATTTAATTTTTATAATAAACAATAACTTATAAATACTGAATTACCATTTATTATGTTAGTTCCCTGTTTGTCCATTGGTCTTAAGTATAGACACATACAAACAAGCACTTACAGGATTTATTCAATGAACCTGTCCCCCTCCTGTTGAGTGATATATACATTAATCACCTAATAACATATTGGCTGGTTGGTGTGTGATAAGGTGCGATCGAAGTATCTCTATGACCGGGCGCACGACCTATTATTGTTCATTCTTCTTCCCAATAAATACAATTATTGAATAAATTATCAAATATAATATTTGAAATAATATAGAAAAAGTATGTACACAAAACCTCTGATAAAATGATTTCGAAAATGATTATGGATTGTTATATGTAATATTATATGTTGTATTGAATTGTATTGCACATTTATGAAAAATGATTAATATGTTTAAGGTGATTATTAAGCAATAACAAAATGTTTTTAAAATTAAAATTACCTAAAAGAAAAATTATTGAATAAATATTTTTAAATAAATCATTATTAACTGAAATCGTTCAAATAATATTTAAAATTATTTTTTTCATTTAAATTATTATCAGAGAAATTACTGTACAGAGGTACCTCACTGACAAAAACATGTGTGGGGCCCAGGGTTATCTTAGTTTACAGTTCTTCATAATAATATATGTGCAATGTACATTTAAAGCTGAAATTAAACATTAGATTAGTTATAAAGTTGCTCAATAATAATAATATAATCATTTACAATCAGATAATAAGTATTATTAAATATGGTACATTTTCATAATAATATGACTATCAACTATTAATTTTCACCATTTAATGATCTTTTAATTTAATTTTCTTACTATGAATTACGTTCCGTAATTGATCTATATAGTAAATACCAAGTAAAAAACCTAACTTGGAATAATTGTCTTAAATATTTTTGTCACTTTGTTCCAATTTAATTTGATGACATGGTATAATAATGTTCGCAGTTTGAATTAATTAATACAAAAGAACATACAAACTAAATTATATTAGAGGTAAGATACAAATATGAATATGATATTATGATGTGTATGTATAATTGTATTGTATTATTTGAATTTAATGACGAATACAATATACGTTGTATACAAAAAACGATTACGAGAGGTTTAACCATGTATTTAGATATTTATAGGTATCAAATTCAAGTATAGTATGTATAAGTTATACTATATTTTCATAATTCAGTAGGTCTACAATTCATTTTTTTTCAACTTTGCTTACAACATAATAATGTATTGCAGAAAGGAGTGAACAGGTTTATGATATGGACGTATAGCTTGAAATAATTCTTAACTTTAAACAAAATTGTATTGTGTATGGATAATACAATAGTCAACAAGACTCTTGGAACCAATTGAGAAAAATTACTGTTTTTGTTTAAGACTCCAATTTTATAAATATTTGAAACATAATATATCCAAAAAAAAGTTTTGAAAATGTAAAATAGGGAAACTTGCGTGATATTCAATAGTAACAAAATATAAATATAAAATATCCATGGTGCAGCATAAATAACTTGATATTTAAAAATATCATTAATTTGCATTCGATAGTGAAGTTAACTTCAAAGATCATACTCACACAATAGTCAACTAATTTTGTAATAAACGGCCTGTGTATGTGTGTGAGTTGCTATAGTATGCAAAAATATTACCTATACAGTGTATAGTATACATATATGGGAAGGTAATAGTACCGAAGACAGGAAATAAAGATAATTATAGATTAGCTGGTCTCGTTTTGTATTTCACAGCAGTACTTTTCGGACACTGATCAGTGTGATGTCTATACTTCGAGTAGCTACGAAATGGTTTATTGTTAGTAAGTATTTACGAGATTATTATTTATTTAAAAATTAAGTTTATTAATTTAAAGATTCCTATATTATCTATCCCTGGTTACTGTTATTATATCTATAGCTCATAGGGTCCATCACTCTCTGGATTTCTTATATTTATATGATTACACCCTAACCGCCTTACGTTATCTGTATTATTCATATAATATTTTATAGAGTTAGGTGTAAAAAAAATATAATACAAACATTATTGAATTTAGTTCGGTAATAAATGTATCGTAAACATATGAATGTAAAATAATAAGTGAAGAGACCATGTTTTTGTAATGGAATACTTACTACCATAAGTAACTAGATAATATGATCTTGAAGCGCCGATATAATTTCACGAGTACATGACGTTGCCGTAACGTGGTCAACTGCAAACACGAAGAATGTGGCACATATTACCACGTATTTTTTTTATTTTTTCAAATGTGTGCATGACTTATCAACATTTATTCTCAGAGTAATCATACTTGGTTATAGCTTATAAGAAATATAATTTTTTTTTGTACCTCCAGGTTTTTAATGAAATTTAACTGCATGCATCACGTGTCACAAAGCGAGCTACTCAATCACTAATTTGGTAAGTACGTATGCAAATATATTATAAAGTTAATATGAATTCAATTTATGCAGATCCAGTAGAAAATTACCTATACTCACGAAATGCACCCGACTATTTTTTATAACTGTTGTGTAACAGATCCATCTAAAAAAAAATATTACTGCCATTATACCTTTGGGACAAACTATATAGAATGTATTACTTATCACTTCTGGTCTTTATAAACGATAAGTATTATTAATTTGTATGACTAGCGCCGAAATAGCTTGCAGTGGGGTGGAACTGAACGACAACCTGCCCAGCGGGCATATCATCGATATGTATAGCGGTACATTACATAATTTAAAGGCGCAACTTAAACTTACATAAGCTTACTGTACTTCTTGAATTGATTTAAAAAACATGTATCATTCTCCCTGGGAATAAAAAAATCATAATCTCTGAAGTAGGCATACCGACAAGGTTCCTTATAACATATTTACAAACAAAAACCTCCTAATAAAACCAGCAAATAATAACTTCGAGATAAAATGATCATTCCTAAAAAATAAGTTTTCTAATAGTTGAAATAACTCTTCAATATTCAACTTCGGTATCTTTTTTGGTGGATAAAAGAATCTAATAAGTTCAAAATATTTTTCAGTTATTTATAGGTATGAGTAAATTTTGATTTTTTTAAATTATTGCCAATTCAATTTTTTAACTTGATCAAAAAACTTGAAAATTTGGTACAAGATTCCTCTTAAGTTGCTTGGGAAAATAAAAAACTTACTAATTCCAATTGATTATGTACCTGAAACCACTCCCAAATCGAATCACTTTAGATTTATAAACATAAGCTACGAACACCTTATATCCCTGTTGTGTCCATCCGTTCGTTAGTTATCTGTACATAGTTAGGTTAGATTATTAATACATATTGGTGGTTTTTTATTTATTTAATTTCCATAGTTATCTACTGTACATCAATTGTACATATATGTCGACCGTCCATCATTGCAATCATATTATTACAATATGAAATAAACTGATAGTGGGAAACACTCGGATATAGGAGTAGGTGTCTAGAGTTGTCACTGTAATGACTATACAAGTCAAATTAGAATACAATGATATAAAATAATTGTTTATAAAAATCGATTATGAACTAAGATTGAATTTGTCAGTCTATATAGTTATTCATATTCCTAATTATATTTTATTTCATTATTTTAGGATATTGTAGGATATTATTGACATCAAAGTAATTTATTTTACTATAAGATATTAGTAGTACTGTAATTGGTAGGTTAGTTATTATTGATTACAATGTGATCTATGTTTGAGTTTTCAAATGCGATGGGAAAAACGAAACAAAATTTAAAGTAAACCAGAATTTTCACTAAAAATTGATTTTGGTTTTAAGTGTAACTTTAAAACAAATGACCGTAGATACATACAATTTTCGCTTTATATTAACATTTGCTATGCTCCATACGATTTCCAAAATATTTTGACTTATGTTGAGCTATTTATTAGGTTATGAAATGTTCAATTATTATAAGTTCTTTTAAAACTATAATTTCAATAAAAAAAATGTATAACACATATAAAATCAATTATTGAATACCATAAACTATTTAATTTTTAAATATATACAATTATTAAATAAAAGAACTAAGCATGCAGTATGAAATATAGGAAAAATGTATACACATGCTTTTGGATTATAATATTATATTCATACTCTGTTGTCTAGTTATATTATATGAATTATGATATATAACTGCATACATCTTGAATTTTTTCAAAAATAAATATATATATACATTTAATTTAATAAAATAATTGCTTATAGATGAACAATATTGTATGGAACATAAAACAATCAAGCAGCGCAATGGCTGTTAGCAGAAAGTTGTGCAAAAATAAAACCTATATCAACCACAATTCTATAAATGGACTACTTTTAATTGTATATACAATTGTAAGTAATAATTTTAATTACAAATTATAATCTAAGAACACTGAAAATATTTTTCTGTGATAATTGATGTGTTCATTAAAATATTTGTTCAATAATAGATTAAGGATTTTAATAAAATATCATAAATCGCCTAGAAAAAAATGGTGTCACTATTTTATGCTATCATAATAAATAACATATAAATGAATCTACATAAAGTTTCACTAGAAATATTAAAAAAAATTCAAAAGAATGATTTTAAAATTGTAGGTGTGAATAAAATACATTTATACGGAAATACATAAATATAATAACAGTTTGTGTCATAGTCATTGGTTAGTTCTTTAAATTTAGTTCGAATAGCTTCTTCAACCTGAAGTCCTTCGCCCATGGTATATTGTGACTCTTTTGTCTTTGTTGTTGTACCTCAACACACAATTCACTAAAATATTAATTATTATTTATTTTTATTGAATTATTATAGAATATTATATTATTTAAAGATACTATTGGGTTGTTTGTAATGAAAACAGAAACTCTTGTGTGAAAAAATGTGCAAATGTCAATAAAAAATATGGTAACAGAGTTATAGAAATTTAAGATAGCTGTTATGTGGGTCCACGTTCTACGAAAGGTTAAGAACCACTGAGTTAAAATATTATAAATTCAATATATTAATAACAATATAAAGTGTGACACCTTATTAAAATAAGACTCGACTGTATAATAACTACCTACTCAAAATGTAAATACGATAATATATATTTTTGGTTTCTATAGGCTTTAATGTTTCCAATGGATGGTAGCACATTTGATACTGAATCAAATAAAATAAGGTGCTCAGATTCAATGACGTGCGCCAAATGTACAATCAAACCAATGTGTGTATGGTCCCTTGAACGACAGGTGTGTGAAAACGACGAGTACCATGCATTAAATACGTCACGTTTAATAGTATCTAGAATCAAGGAATGCCCGCAGTTATTGGTTACTAAAAAATATCAATATATTGATAATAAAATTAATGTAACTTACACAGTTAGGATAACAAATGATGTAGTAGATTTCATACATTATCTTGATATGGGCACAGACATTTATTACAATATGCCCCATTTTAATATGTATAAACCGGTGAGGATAGTTAATAAAACTGACATATTGTGCTCATTCCGACTACCAAATAAAAGCAAAACTACGCTAACTTTTTTTTGGTATATTAGCTTATCTATGATTATGTTGCGGTTTGACAACGTTGTTGATAACTATGATACGGTTTATGGACTCGAAGAATGTGCCATCGACGAGAAGTATAAATCCTGTGCTACATGTGGATGGAATAAAAACGGGGACTTGAACTACTTGAAATTGTGTTCCTCCAAAAACACCTGTAAAAGTAACAAGAATATATACATGAAAAATCAGGAAAAAAAAAAGGTAGCGTACGTGTCGAATAATTGTGCTGAAATAAATGTAACGGCAGTCGATCCACTGTGTGGCCCGAAAACTGGTGGGACGACCGTAACGATCACAGTTAGGAACCACGGGATATTCATGGAGAGCGGATCTTTAAAGGTAATGGTGGCTGGAGCTTTGTGCACGGATCCCAAGACTTCTGGACCAGAGACTTTTACTTGTACCACATCACAATCCAACAAAACATTGTCCGGTCCGATTCTGGTCGAGTACTCATCGATCGAAAACGTACTGAAGATTGAGTCATCTCATATATTCCAGTTTTCAGAAATTGAAATTTCAACAGAATTGTTGTCGAAGACCCTGGACAATAAATCGCCGACACATATTGTTGATCCTTTCAATGTTCCAGTTCCCAAATATCCATCCATACTTCCTGGCTCAAAGAAAACCAATTGCTCAGATTCAATGACGTGTATCAAATGTACAATCGATCCTATGTGTGTATGGTCCTTTGAACAACAAGCTTGTAAAAACTTGCCTCAATACACAACGTTACCTTTAAGGACCTTTAAAAAATTGGAATGTCCCCGGTTTTCAGTAATTAAAGAATATTATTATGGTGAATCAAATGTAACCTTGAAATACATTGTTAAAGTATCCAATTATTCGAAATTTTTCAGAAATCATCTTAACGGCATTATACTTTATAACAGATTTCCAACATATTGCAAATATCTAACTAAAGAGTTTAAAACAAATCAAGAAATGATAATATCATGTGAATTTTATGTAAAGAAATCTATTTTTGATAAAAATAATCCATCGTTCACTTTTTTTACTTTTATTAGTTTTAATGGTGTAATGCTGCGGTTTGATAACATCTCTGATCACTATGTCACTTTTTATAAACAAAAAGAGTGCGCTAATGACGAGAAGCACAAAGCATGTGCGACTTGTGCATGGAATGATGACGGGTACTTGAACTATTTGAGATTGTGTTCTTCCAACCTCACTTGTCAGGTTGATAGGAATTTATACATGAAGAACAATGGTAAAGAACAATTAAACTTTCAATTGGCGTACTTAACGAATGACTGTGTGGAAATAAACGTAGCTGCAGTCGATCCGCTGTCCGGGCCGGAAACTGGTGGAACAACTGTAATGATCACAGTTAGAAACCACAGGATTTTAGCGGAGAATCGAACTGTTATAGTGACGATAGCTGGAACGATGTGCTTGAATTCCAGAACTTCTGGACTCGAGACTATAACTTGCACTACGTCACAATCGGTTGGAACACCATCCGGTCCGATTCTGGTCGAATACTCGTCGACTGAAAACGTACTGAAAATCGAGTCGTCTCAGATATTCCAGTTTTGTCCCAATCCCGTACTAGATGTGGACCAACAACTTCACGGCATAGCATCTGGTGGCAATTCTGTCCCGGTCCATGGTGGTCATTTTGTTGAACATAGCATTACATTTCTCGCCCGACTGTATGTTGACCTGCCTGACGGTGTAAGACGGTATGCAGACAGTAATTGCGATCCACCCGTCAACGACACGTACATGGTCTGTCGATCGCCTAGAGTAAACGGGGTTGGTGGGGATGGATATTCGTCGGTTGTGAAACGGTCACTGAATTTTGGACTGGATATCACTTTCAGTAAGGACGTTTTCTCTGTGAATCAGATGCTTCCAATCGCGGTTCGTGGCCCATTGCTTAGATATTATGTGCAACCCGATCCGGTTCTCTTAGACTTTGAAATAGACAAAAGTGGTTCAGTAACCATCACTGGCGACAACTTGCAGCACGTTCGGCCCGAAGATATCGTGATACGGTTCGTAGATTCGCAGCATTCATGTTGCGTAGTCGTGTTGGTAACGCGACACAGTTTGGTGTGTGAAACCACCATGTCCGTTATTGAGCCACAAGTGATTTCCATCACATTGGGTAATTCGTTGGTATTCACTTTGCTCAGGAGATGGTCGACTCCACCTGACAACCCGTCCGTATTTCGTGGTTGGTTCTTCTTGATTATGTCCACGGTGCTTTTGTTTGTCGGCGCCTTCACTTGTAGACTAAAAATGAAACATCGGTATAACAGGATTGAAACAAGATCGCAGGACCTAGAAGTACACACCGCATTGTAATTAAAAACCGTATTAGTGGTAGTATATATTTGCTGGTTGTTATGATAAATATATTAATTGCACTATATAACTCGAGGTTTTTACACGTTATTGTACATTAATTATACACACTTTAAAAAAATAAAAACATAATATGGTGATGATTAAATTAAAAAATTATTAAAAAGAAATGTTTTTTATATTTTAGTTACGGTTCCAGATTGAAATATTTTATTGAGTAGTTGAATAGAGAGATAAGCGCCACTCGGTACTTAACTATTTTAAGATCCCCCATTGTCGTGGTTATCGTATACCAAGTGCTATATCGATTATGAAACCGGCGAATTGTCTATCTCAGTCGTATTACTTCACGAATCGAAGTACATCAACATGGATTTACCTCTGAAAATAGTTATAATAATACCACAGACACCTACATTAAAGCACTATGTTTTATATTTTTTCCATTTTCACACGACTGAAAAATGGATGTTGGCTTACTCGAAGTTAATAGATTTATAAACTACGGTACCGTTTTCAATACAAGTTTTATAAATAGATTCCATTATACTTGTGTGGTGTTCATAGCTTATTTTTTCTACCCTTATAAGTAGCTAAAGAATAGCTCACACATGTATTTTTCTCAACTCACGAAACATAAATATTTAATTTAATTTATTTAAATAGTTTTCATTGGTTTCATATTACGTTTATTACCATCGTAATTTTTTTACAGATTTATTTATAAAAAAAAATCATAATTTGATACCAGCAATGACAGACAGCTCAACTAGTATAAAATATATAATATATTATTAAAAACGTATTACTTTATAGTATTAATAATATAGAATATTCATATTATGGTTGCGCAGCCCGAATATTGGCTTACAATAATTACACACGTTTACAGCATCGTATCATAATATACCTACCATTCATTAATAAATTAAATACCTATATTTTCCATATTATCCAACAAATATATTAACTCAAATCAATAAACAACTTAATTACTAAGGGACCAACAAGCCGTCGCCCACCTCTATAGGCATAATTTCGCTTAAATTCAGGTTAAAACTAATCAAAAAATTTACAAACCCTACAAAATCAATAACTTCACTTGCAAATTTATTTACAACTTTAAATTCGATTTCATTTTATTGATCAAAATTGTATTCACAATTCAGTATTATTTTTAGTATGAATAAAGTAATTTTTATTATTGTATAAATAATTAGTCAACATTGTGATTTATTACAATGGTATAATACATATTAATACATATTAATTAACACATTAAATTGTTTTTAAGCGTCTACCATGTATAATTGCTCTTGGTTCACCATGATTTGGTATACCAGTGGCATCACCATTAATCTATGTTGTGGTATCAAAATCCCTATATAAAATTAATAGGCTACAGGCCTATTATAGCACTGTTGTAGATATCTAGATCCGTGGCTAAAAATATTAGTACATTCGTACGTATCGTGATTACACCTGAGATAAGAATACAGTTTTCCTATTTCCTAATGAACTTATTATATAACTATTGGTTAGTGGTTTTTATTACTAGGAAAATATAGATATAAAAAACAACTATTTCTTATCACACTAGTGAAATCAGGAAAAAAACAGGTAATTGAAAGGTATCACGATAATGTGATAATTATGATGTTTTTTCGTCGGTATCATTATTTTATAAATGTTTAAAAGTTTGGCATTGTAGTTAAACATAATAAATGTAAGCAATTTAGAGGGAGAAAAATTAGAGTATTGCGCCCCAACAAAATTGTTTAATCTATATTCAGTATTATGCACGTGGGTAAACTTTACTAGTTTCAGGCCTCAACTTTTTGTGTTGAAATATGAACATTTAATACATATAATTGCTCATAGAAATTGTTAAAATTTGATTTTATGCCGATGTTTAAGTTATTTAGTCTAGAAATTAAATTCAAGCTTTTTTTTACCTAATTATGGTATTTTAATAACATTTTAAAATTCTTTTAAGGTTTTAATTTCGATAAAATTGAATATTCAAGTTCTGATATTATTTTAATTTATAAATGTATTTTAATTTTAGAATTAACATATCTAGAAAATCTTGATCAATGATGCATTGTATATACATTTTTAATTTTAACTGAATAGTATCTTAGATTCTGAGCCCGGAGCGATACATTTATTGATTTATCATATAAGCTTTTATTATTTAAAAAATTTTTTGTCTGTATACTTACAGGTAATACATACTTTTCACTATTTAAATTAACTTCAAACTATAATATCTACAGACTACAAAAATTACAACTACATATACTATATGTAATATTCAGTTAAAAAACATTTGTTAATACTGTTAAATGATTTAGGAATGAAACTCATAAAGTCATATCGAAATGTGAAAAATTCAATTTGGTGTTTTTTTTATTAATAGGTTTGATAAAATTCATTGGAATTTCTGAATATACAGGATCACATAGTATGATAACTTCAACGACATTATAATACGATTTTAAATGTACGTACAGGTGATTCAAAATTATATTCGATATGACATAGCAAAGAAATGAAGGTTGTCCAATTTAGTCACCGATCCAATATTTGTGATAAAATATATTCATGTATATTAAGATTATAATTCTGAAGATAGCAAATAGTTATAAGTATAAATTGAGATAGTATTATTGCCAGGTCTTGTAATGCTCAGTAGTTCTCTAGGGGCACAGATCGGTGTAACGACTACTTCGAGTAGGGACAAGTCTGTCTAATTTGTAAGTATTTAAGTGACTATAATTTATATAATAATATAATAATATATCATTCAAACATTTAACAATTAAAGTTATTATAGATACTCATATTTTATTTTACTCCTAGCTAAAGTTATTAACAATGATACCTACAGGGTTTAACGGGCCACGAGTGTCTTTTATATTTAATTGGTCGTCCCTTAATCACGTTATGTTATTTTGTATTATTAACTTAAATATTTCATAGCTAGGAGAGTATTGTAAAAATGATAAAATGATTATTTTAATGAATAAAAATATGAAACTCGAAAATAGTATAAGTATAAGTTCTCATATAATATTTACCTACCATGTAAACATACAATAATATGAAAAGAGTTAATGAGAGCGAAACTAAAGGGTTTGTGATGATATGTAATGGTTATTGAAGATATTATGTATGAATTATTTTTAGTTATTAATAAATTAATAAAAATAACAACTAATAAAGTTTTAGAACATCAATTAGCTTGGTGGGCCGAAAGTTGAGCTCTGTGTTCAGCTCAGCTAGATTATTTTTTGAAACAAAGATGAAAATAAAAATCTTGACTTAAGTGTTACGGTTGATTTTAAAATAATTAAAAATCACTATAATATTATACAAGGATTAACAAGATTACCAATGCCAAAAGAAATAACTTTTGTTTTGATTAGTATTTAATATTTTTTTTGTTTTATAGGATTACAACATTACAACATTACAATTACAGTAGACGTTTTATATTTGAATACCGAAAACTAAAAAATTTAAAATTTCAATAGTTTGTTTAGGAAAATTAAAAATAGCTAATTAATAAATCTAATTCTTAGAAAATGTTGGTGTCATAAACATTTATTTCAGTCAGGTAGATCATTTTTTTAGAATTTTATGAATGTCAATATTATTTGCAATACATATTAGCTATATTCGAAACGTAAACATTTTTCGAAATATTTTTTTTTAGGTTTTTTGGGAATTAAATATACATTCAATTATGTTTCAGCGATATTATTTACATCAATTTCTTTAAAAATATAACTAGTATCAATTGTTTATCTTTCTCTTGTCAGGTCATTCTGTTACAACCCGTTTAATTTTAAGTATTTTATAGAGATACCACCTAGCTACACCCTATTATTTGATAATAGTGCATGCACTAATAATAATAAAACTGTAAATTCGTTAAATAATAAAACAGAATATATTTCTAAATTTCCTTCAGTTTTTATTTTTATTTTTATTTTATTTTTTGTCTCTGTAAAACGTAATATTGACGTGATTTAATATTTAATATCGTAAAGAACTAGATAACATAATTATGTAGTACTGATATTATGCATTACGCTGACGTAACTCGGTCAACGGCACAGATGAAGAATGTGGCATATATCGTACTTACATAACTTTTATTTTATTTCCATTGTGTGCATGATTTATTAAACATTTTTTATCGAACTAATCATACTTATTTATAAGAATTATATTGTATAATTAATTTTTGGTACCTTCAGGTTCTCACGCAAATTTTACTACACAATAAACCACATGCCACCCAGAGCGACTAAATCATTTTTTTGGTAAGTACTTACCTAAATGGATTATAAAATCTAAGAGTATTTAATTAATTTAAAAAATTCACTAGATAATTACTATTTACTCACGAAATTCACTCGAATACCTGTTTATTGTGCAACATAAAAGTAGATGCAACTAAGAAAAATATTTCACTTTTAATAGGTCCTGGTGCCAACCATCCAAATTTTCCAAAAATCTGAACAATTATTTTGTTTTTAATACTTTGTTTGCCACTTTCGTGTATTATTTATCTACTGTACTATATAATTATTTATAGGATGGTAGAATTACACTAACAAAAACGAGCATTTTTATATTTTTATAATAGATAGACAAAACAGGCACACTTATGTTGAGATTAATGCTATTTGTTAATATTAAACTATGGTTGTTACAATCATAAATCATTGAACATTTTAAAATATATATTGTATTACCAAAAACCATATGTATAGAATTTCTAAGTTTGCAAATTGTTGACTTCACTGTTTAAACTTATATAGAAGTACGGTACTTTAAAAAGATCATTGTTTGGTTAGCTTAAAATTAATTCGGTAATGTTTTGATTTTACAATGATGTGTGTAAAAATTAAAAATATTTTTTTTTGTATCTGTCATTGCACCTTTTGAGGGACTAAAAATCATTCAATTTTTCTGGTAAGAAAGTAAATCTTGTTGGTACTTTGAATTCATTAAGACAAATTCTCAATAGTTTTCAAAAGTGTAGGACGTAGATAAACACAAAAAATCAATAACAAATAACCAGAGTTCGAAAGATTTGATTTAGTTTTTTTGATGTTACTCAGAAACGAATAACTGAAGAGACTTTAAATTTTCACCAAATATTTATATGAAATTTTTCCATTCAAGATAATATATTCTTGTATTTTTTGTATTTTTACTTTTTCTGCAAGATCAATTTTCTAATTTTTGTTCTTTTTCAATTAAATATTTTTGCAAAATATTTTTCGCTTGATCATTAAACTTTCACCAAATATTAATTTTATCAATACTATTCATTATAACATGTTTAAAATATTTTGACTCTATTTAAATTCTTTAAAGGTATAGTAAATTTTCAATACTTTTATTTTATCTTTAAATAGCGATAATGTTAAAAATGCATAAGTTTGTTCAATTTTTATAGCTAAAGATTCACAATTTAAAATAAAGTTTTTCATAGTCCCGAGGTAGATAGTCGAATCATTTTGGATTTCTAAACATATTTTTTTAGAACACCTTATATCTCTATATTATTGTGTCCGTCTTTCCGTTTGTTACCTGTAGAACAAAGTTACGACAGTTTATATATATATATATATTGTTGATTTTTTTTATTTATTTATTATTTGAAGTTGTATTAAAATACGTTTATAAACAAGAAATTTAGCAAAGTGAACTTACATAAAGTATTTTATATTTAGCACAAACAAAGACACCAAAAAATATTAACAACACCAGGCACATCATTATATAAGATCAATATTTATACTCCACTCCGCTCAGAATCATAATTACACTGATATAATATGTTATACAATTTAAATAATTTGTTTCCATTATTTTAATTTTGTGTTAGCAAAATATCCGAAGAAAACGTCATATTAATTATTATTACAGAAAGAAATGGAGTTTTATGTACGATTAAATATTGTATAATGCTAGCAAACTATTCTATCATAAAATATTAATTAATATAGAACATGACTAGGTACAACATTATGAAATATTATCAAAACCGTATTCTTATTTATGACCATTTATTATTTTAGTCGTGGGTGTATGATTGTATCAAACGTATTTTGTATCATGAGCAATTATCGATACTAATGACACAAATATCACCGTTATGATATTGATATAGATCTAATCAGTACAATTTTAATATTCGAACCAATTTAGCATTTTATTATGTACAAACCTACAATTGATATTGTACTTTAAATAACTAGAAGGAGAAATTCTGTAATTCGTTACATTTTACATACACTTGTTGTGAATGTGGGCCGAATAACATCACAGTGGTTCACAGTCGAACAATTTTTTTTATTTATAAATATACTGAGTTTAAATAACAACTTATTAATAATATACACAGTGGTAAAAAATAATCAATTATTCAATAATAGCACTATCCTTAAGTATATAAATTTAAATTTAACGATGGTTGGGGGGGGGGGGGTAAACTATTTTATACTAATATTGTGAATAGTTGTGGCAACACTCTGTTCTCTATATGTATTATATATAATAGGTAAATTAAATTATTATTATTTATTGTATTTATAATATAATAACATTAAACAAATTACTTTGAATATTTTAATGAAAAAAAACTGAAAGGAGCTTATAAAATATTATTTGATTATAGATGAACAATATCTTGATAAATACAACAATCGTATAGCGTCGCCATGGCTGATTACAAAAAGCTTATCAAAAATAAATACCATTTGAACCACAAATCTATGAATGGACTGCTATTACTTATATACATAATGGTGAGTTAGAATACGAAATTAAAAAATATAATTTATGAGCAAAAAAAATATTTTTGTGTACTTGAAGTATTAGGCAAAATATTTTTATCAATAATAATATATTTTGTAATCATACATAGTCAAATCGAAAAAAAAATGTATTGCTACATTATCGCACTCAATATTTGATACTCTAATCTAAGTTCAAGCAGTAAATATTAAAAAAAAAAAAAAACTGTATGATTTTACAATAACATGCGTATTAATGAAAAAGACGATTTCATACATTTTGAACTAAATATACGTAAAGAAAGTACTTAACAATGATTCAAATTAAAATAAATGAATAAAATATAATAGTGATTTACTACTATACATATAGCATATTATATTAACTTGTTCTTCTGATTTAAATGAAAATCAATAAAATCAATAACAATATTGCATTCAGATAATTACCAAATTTAAAGATTATAATTTAAAGGAGACGGTCTGATATTAAAGTTCAAAATGCAAATTTATAATGATAAATTATTATAATTGTTTAGGTTCTAATGTTAGTACAACATAGTACTGCGCAGGAAACGGGGTCAAGCAATACCAGTTGCAAGGATACATTAACATGCACCAAATGTACAATCAAAGCTCAGTGTGTATGGTCATTAGATCAACAGGCGTGTGTAAGCAACACTAGTTTAAAGAATTCAAGTTTGATAGTCCACAGTGAAGAGAAATGTCCACGGTTTTTGGTATCAAGTAAACGTGAATATAATAATGAATTTAGTTTTTTGAAATACACTGTTAAGATATTGAACGATTCAGTAGGTTTCATTGATTTTCTTAACAAAAATAATTTTACTTGCAATTCTTCATCGATAGATGTTCATACTGAGATAAATAACAACGAAATAGTATGTTCAACACAAGTTAAGAAATCATACTTCACAGATAACAAGAAGAAGTCATTTACTGCATTTATTTATGTTAAGTTTAATGGTGTAATACTGTGGTTGGACAACATTTCTGATCATTATGCAACAATTTATGAACGCCCGTGTGTCGAGAACGTTAAGGACGCAGATTGTGCGACTTGCACGTGGAATGATGATGGTTTCTCACACTACGTTAGATTGTGTTCAGCCGAAAACACCTGTGAGGGTCACAACGAGTTGTATATGATGCACAACGGTATTGGTCAATTCTGGAATTTTACTTCCCAAAAAGTCAAGGGTAGATGTGCAGAAATAAACGTGACATCCGTCGTTCCTCTATCTGGGTCACTAACCGCTGACACGGAAATAAAGATCACAGTGAAGAACCACTATATATTTTCGAAGAACCAACACTCAAATGTAACAGTGGCGGGAAAGGTTTGTAAGCAAATCTGGTGGACAGGAACCGATACGATCACTTGCATCATGTCACCACCGCCCGACGATACATATGATGAACCACCGTCCGGTCCGGTCTCAGTTATGTACAAATCAGATAAAGGTGAGTTGAATGTCGAGTCATCGCAAACATTCCAGTTTGACGTCGGTACTACGTGTGGCAAACCTCGTCCAAAGCTTGTCTCCACGCAAGAATTGTATGGCATAGAGCGGGGTGACACTAACGTGACGTTGAACGGCTTTCGGTTCTTCAAACCTTGCATTGCATCCCAGGCCCGAATGTTCGTCAAGCTGCCGAACGGTACCATGCAGTTCGCGTCCAATAATTGCGATACACCGACCAATGACAATTACATGGTCTGTCGAACACCAAAATTGAACATTACCAACGATTTCTTCGGAAATGCGACTAATATTACACAGGCGTTGAACTTCGGACTGGAAGTGATGAACTTTGTTGGGAATAATTCACTGATCGTGAATGGTTCATTGACCAGCTATTACCATATCTTGGACGGTTATCACGGCTATCAGCTAGAGGGATTCGAATTGAAACCAAATGATTTGGTGGTTGTCTACGGTAACCACTTGCAGCACATGCACAATGACATCCTGATACAATTCCAAGAGTCAAAAGTTATGAAATGCAATGTCACCATAGCCGAAGAACATAGTTTTCAGTGCAAGCTAAACGCATCCGTCAGCTCTTCAAATGTGATGTTTGTCAATATTGCCGGTTTGTTGACGATCAAAGTTAACAGACGCCTTGGCAATATAACTAATTTGATCTGGCTTATCGTGATGCTGTTGACGGCGATTGTTTCAGCCTTAGCTTGTATGTATCTGTTTAATAGATGGTCTGACGCAAATAAAACAGTACATAACCATCATCCTTTGAATTTGGTAGACCTGGACACACAGACAGCGCTATTATAGTGTTAATTATTGTTAATTATAATTTATTTAAAAATAAAATTAATACTGGTAAGATAATAGCAATTAGATTAACTATTACCTACCTAGTTTATTTTATATTTTGTTAGTTTTTTCTGTTCTACTATTAGTATCATATATTTTGTATCATCCACTGTTCGAAATACTTCATAAGTTAATGTGTATTTATTATTTATCTGTTGCAATATAACAACATTTTGAACATTTTATCTTCAACACAACAAACATATCATCATGGTGACCCAAAATAAACATTTTTTCCCCCTAGACTCAATTGATTGTTTTGAAATTATACACAAATTATCTCAGACCTAATTAACTTAACCAAAGCGGGTAAACGGTCAATTTTTACGGTTCATTGTTTGAAATTCAGGACGCGGACACTGTCCTCTTTGTCCTATTACAATATTATGTAAATTATAATCATTATATGTACTCAAAAATATATGATATGGAAAAAAAACTTTCTAGGTTTGTCATTTTATAATATTCGATGGGAATATAACATTATAGATTCTGATGAGCGATAAAGCGATGAATGTATTAATTTTACAATGATGTTTGTTTTTTAAAAATTTTTTTTTTTGTGTCTATGTACATGATAACTGATAAGTAATAGAAATAATGCTCATATTTTCAATTTCAGTATCATTCCCGATGTAAAAGTGAATCTAGTTGGTGCATTTGAAAGGCCAACATTTAAAACTCCCAGCTTTGTATCTTCTACTGTCTTCTTTATTTAAGTTTGTTTTGTGACTCTTTAAAAAATGTACAGTAGATATATCATATTTTTATTGAATATTTATATTGAATATATTTTATATTAGCATTTTCTGTACACCATAACATGAAATTGTCGATTTGTATTTGTTATTTCAAATTAATGCCAATAAGACATTTTTTCTTAGTCAGAAAAACAATAAAATATCATACAAGGTTCCTCATACGTTGTTATAATTTGAAATAAAAATAAAAGTTAGGCATAATTCACTGTCATTTTTACGAAAATTCGAAATATATTTTGAGTTAGAAATTCATACAATATTTTCTTTTTATATCTAAACTTAATTAGCTAAATATTTATGAGCGTTTGAGGTTCAATTTCTTACAATATTTAATAAATTTACTCAATTTCTCATAGAACCATTTTCTTATTTGGTTGTAATTAAAAAACAATTAAAATTGTAATGTAGATACTTGAAATTTATACAAGACGTTTATTTTATTAGTTAGTAGTTTTTTTTCTATAAGCATCAATACAATTTTGTTCGTTATTTCAAAAAGCTTGGAAATTTAAACAACCCTTCAATACAAGGTACTGATATATTTATAATATCAGTTGAAAAAGATTATATTTATAAGCATTAAAAGTTCAAATGTTGAAAAAAAATTATTAAATTCAAAACTTACATATTATTTTGTAGTTAAACATTTTTGAAATGTTCAACTTTTTAGTTAAGGATTGACACTTTTAATGATTTTGCATGTACATAATTAATTCTAAAACCAGAACATATTTTAAAAAAAAATTTTTTCGAAGTGATAACTTTTCATGGGGGGCTCTTGGCTTGAATCATAAAAGTGAATTCATAAAAATAACAGTGACAATTACAAATGTAACACTTTGAATTTAATGAATTTATCATAGTAGATTTATTTTATATATATATATATTGTGTATAATATTGTGTGTGTGTGTGTATGTGTGTACGCAAGTTCATCAGCTGTTGGTGGTTCTTAAGCCACGATCTAAGATAGTATGGCTGCCATTCGAATGGCTTATCTGAAGGTCATCGGTATGAATCTATCAACTTTCAAGCGTTTAACGACCATTGGCATACTTGCATAGGTGCCGGGGATGTCCAGGATCCTAGGATCCCAGGATATCTTATTAAATAATTGTACATTTTAAATCTTGAAATATCCAAATACTATATAACAGTATTTATGTGTTTTTTTATTTCTTCGAAAATATATTAAGTGCTATGGTACGGTATCGTATGTTCTATAACATTATGTTTGTAAGTTATAAAGTGGTTTGATCGTGGTTTAAAATCACGAAATGTTTTACAGCGAAAAGTAAAAATTCAATTTGATATATTTTTCCTAAACAATATAAAGGTAAATTATCATCACAGGTTAAATTTGATACGATAAATTACATTCAAAAATATTATTATCATCACAATACTATAAAACAAAATAATAACATATAAAAAACATTACATTTACCCTTTAGATATTCTAGTTTGTTCCTATTTTCGTAGTCATTAACTAATTGTTTAAGTGTACACGTTTTGAGTTTTCTGGACAGTCCGATGTACTCTCTATATATGCCCACCGATTTATGAATTTCAAATTGACGACCATCAATAATATGGGAATTAAAATTGAGTATTGTATAGTCTGTTATAGTTGATGGGTTGGATGGAGTAGAATTATTAATTTGTCGTATTCGACATTTTAATGCGTTTAATATAACTTACTATAGGGAGAGCTCCATCTCCATGAATAGCTTGCGAACAGAATGTTAACACTTTGAAAACGTTTTGATGTAGATATTCTTGAGATGACATAGCTTGAATTTTCATTTTATCCATAGGTACAAACACGTCGTTAATTTTCTAACTTCGAAATTATTCCCATGATTATGTTCATTTAGTCCTTTGGCGATTTCTTCGTTTTTTTAAATTAAGACGTGAATTACACATGTCTCTCATTAAATCTTCAATACATGGTATATTTGAATTCTTTGTAAAAAGTACTAAAAACTATATAAATAACCATTATATTTTAATACATTTTTTTTTTTTTTTGCTTTCGAATGAACTCTATTACTTACTACACTATATCTATATGATTCTGAAGTTTGTCTTATGGACATGAATATATGATACGACACTGATCAGATCGGATAACAGATGATTCAGTTGGTTGTGTTATTCAACCTCGGCTTACCTTTATGACGTAAGTGATCTAAGATGCATAAGTACAAAACGCCATAGTCATGATTAGGGTGAGGATTTATATGTACATACTTATTTGTGATGAATGATGGTAATCCAACAAGCGGAATAGTCGAATTGCACTTATTACCTACAAATAAATGGTCGAATTGCACTTGGATTGAAAAAGGTAATGGTCGAACTGCTCTCAGGTAAAAAGCAGGTAGTGGTCGAACTGCACTCATTCAAAAAAAAAAAAAAATTAAAATGGAAAACCCGTTAAAAATATTGTGAATCGAAAAGAACGCAACGGTGTACTTATTTAATAGCATTATATGTATATAAGTTCGTGCCATTTAGATAACGCATATGAGATTAATACTTTTATTGTATACCGAATGGCGTGAACTATGTGTCTATGTAGAGTGTAGACCTATGCAAAATACAATTAGTACACACTTTTACGTCGTTGTGTAAATATGAACAGTTTAAAAATTATTAAAAGTGAACGAGGCCGTGACTTAATCGTGTATCAAAATTAAACATTTAAAAAAGAAAAACATGTAAATGATAGTGTTAAATGGAGTTGTACCCATCGTGGTTGTCTTTCAAAACTATATCTAGATGAATTTTCTAAAGTAATTTTTCGGTCTGAATTGATACATATTCATGAAGAACCAGTTAATTTACTTCAGAGAATGATTTCAAATTCAGTAAAGAAAAAAGCCCTTCAAATGCATGATAATTTAATTAAAATACTTTTTTGAGCCCAAGTGCAATTCGACCATTAACCTTTTTTAAACCCAAGTGCAATTCGACTAAAATAAGTGCAATTCGACCACACCCCCAACGAGTCCTCTACAGAAATACGTTTCAGGACCACCTGAATGCTTTAAGCTATGGTTGCCACTACATATTTTCACATAATTTACTTTTATAACATATTTTTGTTAAATGTTCCCCTATATTGAAAAAATTACCGTTGTCGCCTTTAAATAGGGTTTAAAATATATACAGCTCTAGTCGTTCGTTGTTCGAATGTCTAATCTATTCACCACGTGCCTATATGTTCTATTAATATATTTTAAAGAAAGGCCTAATATAATTATAATTATATATTATAATATATTAATGACCGTGATATGTACAAATAATATATATATATGTGGTATTTTCGCTTTTGGATGGCAGTAATGATGTACAAATTTCAATAAATGTATTAAGTTGTTAGTTGTTGACGTCTACTCATTCGAGAAGTCTTATAGGAATGCATTAATTTTTCGGGTCTGTGTCTTATTAAAAACGAGGAAAGTTGCTTGCAAGACAAAGTACTTGACGAGAATCACGGATTAAAGACAATTTAATCTATCTATTGCAAACGTTTACAATAGCAGCGATACAAAATCTTGCCGTAATTTCAGTCCTACTGAATTAGAAGCTTTCAAATTTGCACCTATAACTTCTGTAGACGTGGAAAGATCTTTTTGTCGCTACAAGAAGGTATTGCACCCCAATCGACGTCGATTTACATCACACAATTTTAAAAAGTACATGATTGATTATTGTTTTGCTGACGACGAGGGTCCTAATATTGAATAAATAGTAATATAAACAGTAATATACTAATAATATATAATTATAATTACAATAACTTTTTTTACACATCTTATATTTTTAATTACATATTTGGACAAAAATAAATACAAGTATGTGTACAGATTTTTGAGTTTTAAATACATACGAGTATAAATCCACACCCTAGTCATGATCATCTAGTAGTATAATTACTTATTTCTATTTAACGGCGTCATAATTAAAAGAATTTCTTAATTATCATATTACAGTTTTCTTCTAGTTTTCTTATAATCTAGCTCAGTAACTTTATGTAGTAAAATACCTAACTTGAAAATTTTCTGTATATTTTTTCACTCGCTTGAAATAAATCTTAACTTAAAAAAAAAAAATGCATAATGTACGAAAAATAATAATGCCGATGTTAGACTGTTTCAAATCTTTACGATTCAGATAATATTATGTTTTGTATTAGGTACAACACGATACCTGAAATCCATCAAGTAAAACTAGAAATTTTGTTTTATTTAAAACATCAATTTTCTAAACACTTGAAACATAAAATATAAAAAAAAAGTGAAATTTTGGAACATTCACAGTATTCAGTAGTTACAAAATATAAACAATAATACCTTTGTTGTAACATAAACAATCTAATGTTACATCAAAATTATTATTATTTAACACTCAACTGTGAAGTTAACTTTAAAGATTATATTTGCACAAAAGTCAACAAATATTTTTATACAACATTACATATTATGTGTGTGTGTGTAGTGCTAATGTGCATGTTTATATTCTATTCACAATAAGAATATACTTCCAGCTACTGCGCAAGGGCGGGGCAATACTACATGGCAGGTTTATACATGGGTGACTGGGTGGGGGTGACAAACGGGCGTTGCCTGACCGTCGCCGACGAAAACTGGTCGCCGTCGTTCTCGTTTCTTGTAGTGAATATAGTATTCGTATACCTGTTCAGTTTATATGAAGATAAAAGCACTGACGACATTAAATAAAGACAAGAATAGATTAGCTGGGCGACAGTTCTCTTCAGACACGGATCAGTGACATGCTGACTTTGAGTAGCTACATATCGTAGACCATATCGGTCTAGTTTGTAAGTATTTATGTGACTATTATTTATTTATTAATAATATAATAATATATTATAGAAACATTTAACAGTTTAGGTTACTAATTTAAAGATTATTATATCCACCCTTGGTTATGCCTATTACACCAATAGCCTTTAGAGTCCGAAAACTCTCCCGGGATTTCTTATACCTTACTGGTTACCCCCGGATCCAGTTACATTATTTTTACTTTTCCTATAATATTATATATAGTTTGGTAAATATTGTAAAACTGATTATTTTAATGAACAGAAAAATATATTATGAATGTATAAAAATATAATTGAAGATATCATGAAATTGAAACAGCAGACTTTGTTATTTACATCAGCTATTATTTTCTGGCTTACCTATAGGGTAGACTAGACATTAGTCGTTAGGCCCAAGACTAGATATTCTTTTGCTATACCTTAAGAAGCATTTATATCTTAATTTAATTATTTTTTGATTAAAAAAGAAAGGAAACTTGTGATTAATGTATTCCGCTGATTTAAAAAAATAACATTTTGTTGTTTCAGTATTTTGTTAGAATATATTTTCATGTACACTATTATTTAACAATAATGCATATACAAATATAAACAAAACTGTTTATTCGTAAAATTATAAAACAAAATATATTTCTAAATTTCCTCTCTTTTTTTTTTACTTTTTGTCTCTGTAAAAAACAATATTCTCTTGATATAATACTTAGAATTGTAAATAACTAGATAACATTATCATGTAGAGCTGATATTATGCATTACGTTAACGAAATGCTGTCAACAGCACACGTGAAGAATGTGGCATACATTGTACTAATACAACTTATATTTTTTTCTTTGCGTGCATGATTTATTAAACATTTTTCTCGAACTACCTAATCACACTAAGTTATAAGAAATATATGTATTTTTTTCGGTACCATCAGGTTTTCGAACTAATTTTACTACATTATTTTATTAACTAACAATTAAAAATAATAACACTAAATATTAATATTTTCAATTATATATGTTTTTTTAAAACCATTTTTGCTTGACCTAAAAACTTGAAAATTTAACTCAAAATTCGTCATAAGTTTAAATTTGTGTAAATGAGAAAAAAGGTCACCCTAAATTCACAATAATATTATACAAGCTACTGAAAATTGTCTCAATCGTGAAAATTGCTAACTATTTTGAGTTACAAATTTATAAAAAAGTTTCTTTTTAAATATAAAGTTTGAAAATTAAATCTATACCTACTTTTGTCAAAAAAAAAAATGACTGGAAGGTTAAATTTCTTTTTTATGATCGTTTGAAGTTCAAATTTCTACATCGTATATTTAGATTTTAATACCCATAAAATAATATTTTTCTTATTTTGTTATGGTTCAAAAATAAATAATAGTGGATATTTTACATTTTCACCAAATGTTTATTTTAACATTTACTGTTCATGATAATATGTTTAAAATATTTTGACTCTTTTTAAATACAAATCTTCAACTTTTTCATTTTTTTCTTGAAATATCAATAAAGTTAAAAATGTATAAGTTTGTTCAATTTTTATAGCTAAAAGATTCACAATTTAAAACAAGTTTTTTCATACTTCCAAAGTAGATCATTGAATCAGTTTTGGTTTACATTTTTTTAGAACACCTTATATCCGTATATTGTGTCCGTCAGTCCGTCCATTTGTTATTTATTTATATTTTTAAAAGTATTAAATAATAACAATATTTTTGAGTACACAAATTTAAATTTAGCCTGGAGCTTACGTAAACCATTTTGTACTGATTTTGAATGGTTTTGTCAACACTCTGTATATATGTATACTATAATAATATTATATATAGTATATATACTATATATAATATTAATATATAACATTATTATTTATTGGATTTATAATATTATAACGTTAAACGAATTACTTTAGATATTTTAATGAAAACAACTTTAATGAGTTTATAAAACATTATTTGATTATAGATGAACAATATCTTGATACATACACCAATCGATCAGTTTAATGCCTAACCGAAAGTTGAGCAAAAATAAAAACTTTTTGATCCACAAATCAATGAATGGACTGCTATTACTAATATATTCAATGGTGAGTCCGAATATACATTTAAGATTATTTATGAACAGCAAAAATATTTTTAGTAACTTATGTATTTATCAGTGAAACCTCCCTTAACGGACACCTCTAAATAGCGGACACCTCCAAATAGCGGACGTTTTTTCAGAGACGGGGACATTTTCACTATGTATGTATAGGAAAACCTCTAAATACAGGACACTCTAAGTAACGGACACTTTATTATGACACTGATATTAATCATTTTTATCTTAAATTAAGAATTATTTTGGAATAACAAAATAAAAACCTCAATTATTAAGTTATCTTATGTGTACATTATTAAACTGTATATGAAAATCTTATCTTTTCCGTTCAGTCACTTTATCGCGTCAACGAAATATTGTAACTAATGCATTGTCCTAAGTGCGTTTAGTTGTGATTATGATCCCAATATACGAACGTTTTGGCATTGCTAGCAGTAAAAGGCATACGTAAATATATTTCTTCTATCGAAATACAAAATAGTTCATTGTACTCAAACACAGTCCAATTAGAAAATGCCTTAACACACGAAATAATTACGCCTGCAATTAGTAAACAAACTAGAGTAACAGATTTTTTTCAGAAATGTTAGTTTTTATTTTTATTGTGTATTTTATTAAAGAAAAAAAAAAATATAAAATAAAATTATTGAATTTATTTATTTTTTGAAAAATATGTTTTCCTCTAAATAGCGGACAAAATTTCGGCGACCGAGAGTGTCCGCTATTCAGAGGTTTCACTGTATTTGCAATAATAATAATAAATTTTGTAATAATATATTCAAGATTCGAAAAAAATGTATGTCTACATTGTCATACTTAATAATCTTGCCATACACTATATTTAGTAAATATTTAAAAAAAACACTACCTATGATTTTATAGTCACAATTACTATTAAAGAAGATGAATGAATATAATATTTTGAATTAATAAACATAAAGTATATGATGATGTATCATACTCGATAATTATTTATTTATTAAAACAGATTATTATTATTATTCCCTGATACCATAAACTCAGATTTAGTAATAAACATTAAACAAAATAACAGTATGATTTTACAATTATCTACAATGATAAATTATTATGTTTTCTTTAGATTCTGTTGTTTGCATCATTTAGTTGTGCACAGATAGCGGAGTCAATCAGTACCAGTTGCGAAAATGAATTAACATGCACCAAATGTACAATCAAAGCTCAGTGTGTATGGTCATTAGATCAACAGGCGTGTGTAAGCAACACTAGTTTAAAGAATTCAAGTTTGATAGTCCACAGTGAAGAGAAATGTCCACGGTTTTTGGTATCAAGTAAACGTGAATATAATAATGAATTTAGTTTTTTGAAATACACTGTTAAGATATTGAACGATTCAGTAGGTTTCATTGATTTTCTTAACAAAAATAATTTTACTTGCAATTCTTCATCGATAGATGTTCATACTGAGATAAATAACAACGAAATAGTATGTTCAACACAAGTTAAGAAATCATACTTCACAGATAACAAGAAGAAGTCATTTACTGCATTTATTTATGTCAAGTTTAATGGTGTAATACTGTGGTTGGACAACATTTCTGATCATTATGCAACAATTTATGAACGCCCGTGTGTCGAGAACGTTAAGGACGCAGATTGTGCGACTTGCACGTGGAATGATGATGGTTTCTCACACTACGTTAGATTGTGTTCAGCCGAAAACACCTGTGAGGGTCACAACGAGTTGTATATGATGCACAACGGTATTGGTCAATTCTGGAATTTTTCTTCCCAAAAAGTCAAGGATAGATGTGCAGAAATAAACGTGACATCCGTCGTTCCTCTATCTGGGTCACTAACCGCTGACACGGAAATAAAGATCACATTGAAGAACCACTATATATTTTCGAAGAACCAACACTCAAATGTAACAGTGGCGGGAAAGGTTTGTAAGCAAATCTGGTGGACAGGAACCGATACGATCACTTGCATCATGTCACCACCGCCCGACGATACATATGATGAACCACCGTCCGGTCCGGTCTCAGTTATGTACAAATCAGATAAAGGTGAGTTGAATGTCGAGTCATCGCAAACATTCCAGTTTGACGTCGGTACTATGTGCGGCAAACCTCGTCCTGTGCTTAGCTTGAGACAAGAACTCTATGGGGTAGAGCAGGGTGGCACTACCGTAAAGTTAAACGGCTTTCGGTTCATCAAACCTTGCATTGCATCTCCCGCCCGAATGTTCGTGAAGCTTCCAAACGGCACCATGCAGTTCGCGTCCAAAAATTGTGATACACCGACCGATGACAATTACATGGTCTGTCGAGCGCCAGAAATGAATAGAACTAATGGTTGGGATGTAAACGCGCCTAATTTTACACGGGCGTTGAACTTCGGACTGGAAGTGATGAACTTCGTCACGAATGAGTCACTGCTCGTGAACGGTCCATTGATCAGTTATTACCACGTCTTGGAAGACTATCAGCCAGAGGAATTCGAAATAAAATCAGATGGTTCGGTGGCCGTCTACGGTAACCACTTAAGGCACATGCATCCGGACGTCTTTATAAAATTCAAAGATTCAACTATGTATGAGAAATGCAATTTCACCTTAGCCGAAGAACATAGTTTTGTGTGCAAGCCCATCACGCCCATCGTCGATTCGGCCGTGATAAATATCACGATTGGCGATTTTTTAACGTATAAGCTTAAAAAACGCCCATGCGATTTCATCAAACTTATCTGGTTTTTTATCGTGATTTCCCTAACGGTGATTCTTTCAGTCTCGGCTTATTGTTATCGAATTCGTAATAGGCATGACGTGCATAAAACAATCCATGACCCACCTGTGAATTTAACAGACATAAATACACGGACAGCACTATTACAGTGTTAATCTATATCTCTATCGTCTATACTCTATACTACTGTATAAAATGAAGTCGCTTTCTTTTGTTTGAAATAAACTTCCGAACTACTCATTCAATCGTTGTGCAATTTTTTTTAAATTAAAGAGGATATCACAGAGAAAGGTTTAGCCATAAATTTATTCCGATAAAGTCAATAAATAATTAGTTATTATTAATTAAAATAAACGTGTAAACTGTATACCTATACCTTTTTTAGTAAGGAATAGTCACTGGCTGAAAATAAATAACAATCAAACTCGACAACTACAGATGCTTCTATAGGCAGGTCGGTATCGACGTGGAGTAAAAACAACTATTATAATTCTTTAGTTTAGCAAAAAAAAATTTTATCTATTATTAGTATTTATAATCAATGGCGTTACATTAGTTATTAGTAAAAAATAACTAATAACTAATCTAATCTTTACTTATTTTTTATCATTTTTTTAATCACCATCTTAATATACAGGCTAATTTCTGTTCAACATGTAGGCAAATTATTTAGTATTACGTTCAGGGACTGGAACCGTACCGAAAAGAACCGGTTTTGGAACCGAAACACTTTGAATTTTGTGAACCGGAACCTCACCGAAATTCTAATTTAAATTAATTTAAAAACCGTAACTTTACCGGAACCGATATTCTTTTGTAGGTAAAGGTTTCTTACGATTAATTTCGTTTTTGTAATAATTATATTATTTTTATTTTTATTTGTCATTATTTTAATCATTATTATAAGGATTTATAATATTCAAAAATAATCATTCAATTATACCTACAGAGTACAGAGTTCGAGTGTCTGAGACGTGTCACTAAGACTAAAGTATTAATAATTCTACGTAATAACTGATAATGTATTAATAGGAATTTCCAGCAAAAATTAAAGTCGTTATTCACTGCACAATATACACTTATAGGTCTTCTAGTTACCACAATAATAAGAAATTCATAAAATATGTTTATAAATAACTGCGAATGTTATGGGCTACAACGCTTATATAGTATTGTTATCTAACGCGTACCTACAGCACGCCTAAATGCGTTTCTTTCTGTGATTTGTTACTGTTCATTATACTCATTATAGTGTCTACTGTCTAGTTCTCTAGTGTCTATAGCCGTGGGGTCTAGCTTCGATATTTTAAACTTTGTATTCTATATCATTATGGGTCGTATGCTTTCGTCAACAATGTTGAGCATTTACTTGAAAATTTGAAAATACTAATATTTTTTAAAGAATCGAAATTGAATCAAATTTTTAAGTATAAAACCTAAACAGAAAACGAATTTTAATTTTATAAGAACCGAAAAGAACCGAAATCTAAATTAAAAAACCGAAAAGGAACCGAAACCGAAATTTTAATTTCTTTTAAAACCGAAAAGAAACCGAAATTTTAGATTTTCTTAGAACCGAACCGGAATCGGAACCGTAAAAATCATCAAGGTTCCAGTCCCTGAATTTACGTTTGCCGGGTTAGCTATTATTGTAGCTGTTATTATATAATGTAAAAAAAATGTCAGGTTCAACTAAGGTGACTTTTGCCGGGGCAACGCCGGGTGGGACACCTAGTTATAATTAATTTTTATGTATTCAAAAATAAAATTAATATTAAATATAAAAAAATAGCTAATATACACTAGATATTTGGTTTACTTACATATTTTATTAGTTGTTTATGTTCCACCATTAATTTAACATATTTTGTGGCATTGTATAACTATCATGTTAAATGTGTCAATGGTGATTTATTATTTGTCTTTCATAATTTAAGGTTTTTTTATATTTTATCCTTAAAATTATAAACAAATTGTTATGGCGACCAAAAAGAAAAGTAATAATGAGTATTGTTTACGTCATTTTCAAAACTCACTATTATACAGAATTGTTTTATTGATTATATCTTACATACATATTTATTTTATGTATGATAAATTTTAAAATACAAAAAGGGGGCCTTGGTTCACAGAGATGAAACCCAAAATTGTGTCAGTAGATACGGGATTGGTAAATCGGACAAAATGACCTTTTTATGTTTAAATGGATCCTGGGAAAAACAATTTATTAGGTATGTTGAGTCCCGAAATTTAGTTTTGATTTGTTTTATCTATGTAAGACATACTCAAGTCAACTTGAGTTTTTTAAATTTAATTTCTTCAAATCAACCCAACTCTTTTTATAGATATTTGACGTGTATTTTACACTTTCATAATGTATTAATAATTTAAATCATCAAGGTTAGGTTAGGTTAATAGGTAAATAATATACATTTTTGTTTGTCAATCAAATGGGGTAATTGAAAGACTATATCTTTAATATTACGATGTAATTCTGTCACAATAATATTATTTTCAGCTCATTAGATTATTTTAAGATAAATTCTTTGATACATTTATGTCATATATAATAAAAATAATTTACATTTGCGATATTTTTGATGGACAATTACCAAAAAATTAGTATTTTAATTTTTTTTTACCGCACATTTTTTAGATGAATATTTTTGCATCAAATTTCGTGAAGCGTTTGTCACTGGATACTATTTACTGGATATCATGAATAACGGAAAGCGATAATTTTTACAGTGTATTTTGAAACCCATTAAGATGTTGTATTGCCCCCTTAACAGGTATTATATATTGATCGACAAAAGTGGTAAATTTTGCATTATAATTTGAATAATAAAATAAAAATGAATAAAATGCAATGTGATTATATTGCCAGCTTTAAAATAAGAGATATAATTATGTTTATTGAAAATTTAGTATATATTTACTGCCGTTTAAATATTTTTATAATTTGATAGAACGGTCTAGTTACATATCACAATGTCATTAGCATATTATCATAATGTTTTAATTTTTAATACACATAATTTTGTAAACAGTAATATAAATATTGTATACTCACATTAATTATTGATGATTAATTATATGAGCGTGGGTTTAGTTGCATTATCTATAGCTTATTTAAAACCGAATGAAGTTTGATAAATGATTTATTCAAATATACACTTTTACGCCAAACGTTGACAATGATGCATATATGTGTGTGCGATTATATTTTATAATTATATTCAAGTATAATATAAGCTTTATAATTATTATTTTTTTTATTAAAAAGTGTATATTCCAAATATTTACCAACTAGTTATTCAACAAATTGTATAATACATATTTTGTAACTCGGGAAGATCTATCCTCAATCAAAATGTTGGTAATAAAGTTGTTCAATAAATTATTTTGTATTTGATCGTCAGCAATATCCATTATATCGAAGAAATAAACTATAATATGCTCACTGTCACTGTTAAAGTATAGGTATTTGGATTTCATAAATACTACTCCTTATCATAACTATTGTTGAATGCCCATATATGTAAATTAGACATTTTTTTCAAACCTTTACAATTTTAATAAAAAAATGTATATTATTATTAAATATAATCAATGGCATAATTTGATATATTAAATTATATTGATACTGTTATTTAGGAAACATCAGTTACAATAGTGTTATTTTTGTCTTTGCTTTACAGCTTACAATAATTTCTTAAAATTAAACAATAATTCAGTGCCACAAATTTAGACAAGCTTCGTTCCTTTTTAATGTTTTAATATTAGAGAGTAAATTTAATTTAGTATTTACTTATTAATCTTATAGGAATTAACTAATCACATTTTCTGTGGTTGATTGGAGATGTTTTTTCGATGCATAAATTATATTGTGATATTTTAAACAGTTGTATTATAGTTTCAAAATTAAAATATCAAGAAATTAATTACCTAACCGGGTAGGTTATGACTCTTCTGTAAATTAAATGTCTAGAGAGTCACTGTAATGGATATGATAAATTTGAATTAAATAATATAAAATCATTGCAAAAAATATTCTAAGAGAAGCCCTTATACTATTAGTTAGTACTTTGTAGAAATATTTTATGATATTATTGTGATTAAAGTACCTAATTTTTTTCTATATTATAGGAATTGGTTCAAACAACAATAGGTTAAATTCATTTTTGTCGAAAAAATTGCATTTTAAAATGTCATAATCTGTATTAAATATTATAATATAGGTACAAAAATTAATTAATTAATTAATTACTACATTTTCAAATACCCATGAATAAAATATTTGAATTACAACAAAATAACTAATATGGTTTTTTCTTTGTTTAAATAATAGATTCCGTCCAAATTTGAACTTAAAATGCATAAAAAAAAATATATGTACATATTTGTTTAGTTTTTTTGTTTATAGTATGAACTATTTACAAGAATCCTGATTTAAATTTCCAATCCTTCGCAATAAAAATTGAACGTTTTATAGGTACACTTTAAGCTACAAAATAATTTATAGATTTTCAAGATTTTTATGAATTTCATGTCATAATTTGAATTTCAAATATCTATAAGAAAACATTTTCTTATGGTTTTAAATAGTACGAAAAGAATCAAAATATTTTGAAAATGCTATGATGTATAGAAAATATAATTATTAATATATATATATATAATTTTTAAACAACAATTTAAAGTTTAAAGTTTAAATTATCTATGATAATTTTTTTTTTTTGAGTTACATAAAAAAAACTTAATAATTGTTGTCAAAAACTGGTTTTGCGTGAATATCTTCGTTTTTCTATAATGTACTTTGGGTTTTTCCCGACACTTTTATTAACTTCTGAGCGCTAACCAAATTCACTTTAATTAAAAGTACATCGCCTACAATTGAACTGAAGTAGCTCACAAAAACAGTGCAAAACCTGTTTCAAAAAAAATTCTTCAGGTCACCGTGCTGTTTTGTATAGTCTGTGCATAGAATATATTAAGTTATTTTATTCATAGCTATAGGTCCATATTGTAAATTCTAATATTTTCTTTGAAGTAAAAATATTAAAGTTATCTATCATAAAATAATTGTTTATAATCTATTATAGCAATATATATAGATGAACAATATATTGGGACGTAAAACATTTGGGCAGCATCATGGCTGATTGCAGAATGTTAAGCAAAAATAAAAATAATCTGAATCATTATTTTTTGAATGGATCGCTTGTACTTTTATATACAATGGTAAGTACAAATTCAAATTTAAAATTAAATTTTACTTTTTTTTGTATATTTCTTTATAGTTCAAAATGTTTGATATTTGGTATAATATTTAAGTACCTACAATTATTTGTCATTGAGTTACACCAGTGTTAAGATAATTCTTTTTTAAAAATGATCTAATTTCATTCTCAATATCCTTAACATATGAACTAGTTGCAGATCCTTATTCCTTATTCAAGGACAGAATTTGCTCAAATAAACTCTATATAGTTTTTGTTTTATTTTAACAAAGTTATGTAAAGTATGCAGTATAAGGAAAATAACTTTTTATTTATAATGAGAGGTAAAGAATAACGATCAAATATTAAACGTAAACCAACTAAAAATATCTTCTTTATTTAACAATAATAGGGAGAATTTAAAGTGGTTTAAAAGTATTGTTCAAAAATCGAGCTTTCCAAATTTGTACATAATGATACATTTATCGATTTCTGTTCCACTAAGTTCTGATCTAGTGAAAAAACAGTAAATAGTTTCACCAATACTTTCAGTTAATACTTATTTAAGGTCAACTTATGTTGAAAAATCGATCATTTCAGTTGTCTACCTTAGCTATTGAAAAACATTTATCAAATGTTCTAAATACAGCCAAAAAAAAATATATTATGTTTCCTATATCAATTGTTTAATTTCCACTTATATTATAAGAAAACTAAAAACTCGAATTTGTAACTAAAATAATATAATATATTTTAATAATTTAATGTTTACCTAATTCCACTTTTTTAATCATTCATATACGAAGTATACAAACAATAATAATCAAATACAATTTTAATTTATTTTTTTTCGGGATAAGGGATGTAGGGGCTCTGCCCCCACTTTCTATATTACTTATTATAAAAATGCTGGGCAAATGCTGAAACCACTCAAATTTTAAGTTCTAGTTACGCCTTTCCAGTTTTGACACTAATAAATTATGATTTCTGTAGACTTTGCTGTTTGAATCACATGGTAGCATACTGCAAGGATTGTCGTACAATGATGCCAAATGTTCAGATGCAATGACGTGTACCACTTGTACAATCAAATATCTGTGTCAATGGTCCCTAAAACAACAGACATGTATAAGCTGTATCCCATTCAACTCTTCAAGCTTAATGGTATCTAATATAGTAGATTGTCCACGAATTTCAGTTGAAAAAATATATCATGATGATAAATATTTTATTAACTTGAAATACATTGTAAAGGTATTAAAAGATTCAGTAGGTTTTTCGGACTATCTTCTCACAAATGACATGTATTGCATAAGACAAACATCAAGATTGAAATATCCGGTGGAGAAAAAAAACGATGAATTTATATGTTCAATGAAAATGGGAAAATTATACCATAAATTATTGAATGTACAATCATTTACAGAATTTATTTTTGTGAAGTTCAATGAAGTCATGCTGCGGTTTGATTATGTCTCCGATCACTATGTTACGTTTCATGAGCATGATATATGTGCCTTCGAAGGATTGCACAACTGTGTGACTTGCGCATGGAATAACAACAAGTTTTCAAACTACTTGAAATGGTGTACGTCCGAATATACCTGTGAGGTTCGAAAGGAGTTTTACAACTTGAATAACAACGCCGAGCCACCATCAAGATATTTCGACTACCCGGGATATGAAGAAGTGTATTTGACGAACAAATGTCAAGATGTAAACGTGACGAAGGTAGATCCGTTATCAGGGCCACAATCAGGTGGCACGTCCGTAACGATCGTCATTAGAAACCACAGGATACTTGCGGACAACCGAACCGTAATGGTGACGGTCGCAGGAACTGTGTGCACGAACCCTAGAACGTCCGGACCCGATACGATCACTTGCACCACCTCACCATTGGTGAATGCCACAAATGGAACATTGAAAGGTCCCGTTCTGGTCAAGTACTGGTCAAATAATGCTGGATTGACAATAGAGTCTTCACAACAATTTAAGTTTGACGTCGGCCCTATCTGTGGCACTCCCAGTCCCGTGCTGGACCAGAATCAACAACTTAGCGCCTTACTGTCCGGCGGCATCGCTGTGGCAGTCCGGGGTGCACATTTCGTTGAACCATGCGTTGTATTCCCCGCCCGACTCTTCATCATGTGGCCAAACGGCACCATGGTGTTTGCGTCAAGTAATTGTGATCCACCGGTCAACGACACGTATATGACCTGCCAATCTCCCAGACTGGATTTCCCGGGCGTTGACGAGAGATGGATGCTTAATTTCGGGATCAACGTGATGAACTTCACAAGGAATCAGTCATTGTTCATTGACGGTCCGCCATTCGGGTTTTCGGTGTATTTAGATCCGGTGCTGGTGGACTTTGAAATAGACGGAGCCGGTTCAGTAGTCGTCAACGGTCGCCACTTGCAGCACCTTCGGCCAGTCGATATCCTGATACGGGTCTTGGATCCTTCGGCCACGGATTGTGTAGTTGTTTCACTTACACAAAAAAGTATAGTATGTGAACCGACCACGCCCATTGCTCCAGCTGCTGTCGTGTTGCTCAAGATCTTGGTAAAAATCGGTGATTCTTTGTCATATACCCTACTCAATAAACCGCCACTCCCTAATGACGATCCTTCCAATCTTCCAAGTCACGACAATCCGTTCACACTATCCAGCTGGTTTCACGCAATCATCGCCTTGACAACATCTCTGCTGTTTGTTTACGCGTTGGCCCATTGCCTAAATACCAAAAATGGGTACAATTTGTCGGAAAGCATTCATCATACACTGGTAGACTCCGCAGAATAGTAGGTTTGACCTACCTTAACCTACACATTTACACTGAGCTGTAGTTTTAAATCAATAGTTTATTAGACAGATAAATTTAAAATGGCTGTAATTATAGTTCAAGCATAATATATTACTCTATAGTAAAAGGTTTAAAAAAAAATGTCATTAAACGATATTATAATAAACAAAACTGGTGTTCTAATTATGATTCCAGATAGCAATGCTCGATAAGTATAAAAAATATTAATGTAATAGTAATAATAAGTATAAAATAATTAGTACTAACTGTCTAATGTCTAACTGAAGAAATACTTAAGGAGCGTCATAATTATTTTTATTAATGTATAATACATTTATAGTACATTTAAATTAATGATTTTTTTAAAATGTAATATTTTATTAAAATTCTAACTTAATCTTTCAATTCTCAATTTTTGACGAAATTGAGAATATTTTGTTGAAAATATACACAAATAACTTTTAGAATATTACAAATAATTTGATTTAGTTGAATGTTTTGAGCATTTTGATCACTAGCTGCTTTAGAATCACTAATAAATATGCTCACTTTGTTCTATTATACTAAACTTGTATAACTCAATCACCGTCGATACGTCAATTTATTTAATTAATTATTAAAGTTCTTCTAAAACTAAGTAATGCAAGTATTGTGTCCAAAAATTAAAGACAATGATCAGATTGATTTTAGTGCAAATGGAATTGATTATGGATAGGTTCTAAAAAAATTTATGTTGTAGTATTAAGGACTTAGTAAAATCAGTTTTCTTTCATTCTTTCAAAAAATGTTAAAATTAATTTTTTTTTTTTAATATTATTGAAAAATTACTTAAATATTGAACTATGTATTTTAAAATTCATTAAGTTTAGAAAATAAAACATAGACAATATATTTTAATAAGTAAATATAATATGACATTTAATGGTTTGTTCTTATTGTCTGCTTAAATGAAAAAGTTATACTGTCAATAATAAGTAATAACTTATAAATTAGATAGATGTTAATTACGTATTACAATTAAGTACACAGTTGTATCGTAATTATATAGAGAGTTACATTATATTAGCATAAAATGTTTACGCATTGATAGTGATAGGATAATATATAATTAAGCGATGATAGTAATCCGAGGATATATTACTATTTTTTCTGAATACGTTTTCTATAACTAATTGTTTGAGTACATTTTAAATATGTGTTTATCAATATAAACACAAGTTTGCTTTACAACTCTGAAATTACAATCAAATTTGTTTTAGTAAATTTCAAGCATAAGATTTGAATATAATTTGAGTTGTATAATACTCTTTTAAGCTTACCGGCTTAAAAATGTCAAATAAATTATTATTGATATTATGACCGAAATTTTTTATTTTAAAAAAAATTATGTACTTTAGATGATGAATTCAGAGCTAAATTACTATCGGTGTAAGTGTGAATAAATTGACTAAAATAATTAATGCTAATCTAATATAACCATCAGATTCAGGTATCCCATCAAAATTATTATTGACAGTTGAAAGTTATTACTGTATTACTAAAGTTATACCTTTTATCCATATATAAAATATTGTATGTATTATTTCGTTCGTATATCAGTGAAATTAACTACAATAAAATAATAATATACTATTAATATGAATCATAAAATCTTATTAAACATACTACCTAGCTTTAGAATTAATAATTCGAGCTTAAATTGGTTTAGAAGCTATTTGCATAATAGAAAACAGTCGGTGAAAATTAATGAAGTAAATGGTAACACATATGGAATTAAGAGTGGTGTACCTCAGGGTAGTGTTCTTGGACCCATTCTATTTATAATATATATTAACGAAATTTGTGATATTAATTTTAATGGGTCGATACTTACTTATGCTGATGACACTTGTCTTCTATTCTCACACAAATCATGGGATGGGGTATATGAGAAAGCCTGCAGAGGTTTCAATCAGATAATAAACATTTCAAACAATAGAAATCTATCCCTGAATGTTGATAAAACTGTGTTTATGCCATTTTCAATTAATAAAACAGATTGTAACTTCAATACTATAGCAGTACATGGCTGCGTCAATAATAAAATATGTAATCAGGAAAACTGTAAAATAATTAAAATAATTAGTAAAATTCGTTATTTGGGTGTTATATTTGATAACAACTTAAAATGGAATTTTCATTTTAACAATTTATTAGGAAAGCTACGTTTTAGTACATTTAAATTGATCAAACTCAAAAACATTGTACCTAAACAAACAATGAAAATAGTATATTTTGCACTGTATCAATCAAATTTCCAATATGGTCTATTGGTATGGGGTGGCCTTCGGGATAACATATTAAATGCACTAATAGTAAATCAAAATAATATAGTCAGAATTTGCCTAAATAAATTCACTCTAGAAGGATCTACGAAAGCAAACTATAAAGAACTTGGTGTATTGCCAATAAGGTTTTTGTATAAAAAAATTGTTATTATGCACTTGGTTAAGAAATTTAACTTAGATAAATATCATAAAGAGTTAAGCAATAAAAGAGAATTGAGGAGATTTGATTTGACTGTTAATTATACAAATAAATCTTTTGGTCAGTGTTTTGTAGATTATCTTGGACCAACGTTTTTCAATTCTATGCCTTTTGAGTTAAAAAAAAAAATACTTGGGGTTGAAAGGATTAATATTAAAGGCTTGGTATATAAATATTTATTTCTTGAAGTAAATAATGAGTCGATATAATTTTATTTTTATGTCTCAGCTTTATAAATATTAATCTTTGAGGTTTTATTTGTGTATCTTAAGCTAATATAATATGTTTATTTTATATTTCATTCTTATCATGTACCTTTTCTTGATAATATTTCTAAACTTTATTTGTATATTTAGCTTTATATGTACTTAGAACTTTTACTATATATCTTGTAAATTCTATAATTTTTAAAAAATTGTATCATATATTATATAATAACTCTCTTTCTCCAACACAAGCTTTGCTTAAAGGAGAAAGATAGGTAATCGAAAATGTTACTCAATAATAATATGTGTATTTGTGTCTTTTTCGATTAATAAAAAAAAAAATAAATAATTTTGATTGTCATTACTTAACTGATACCAAATAACAAAACCGCATGAATTAAAACAACTTAGACAAGCAATGATAATAAGTTACATTTCAATATTTAAATTTTATAATTATTCACAATTTATTTCATATTTAAGACTAATTTCCCTAGCAACATTTTTAACTCTAGAGAATATGCCACTGCCTACATGGCTACATTAGAAAATAATAATTTTAAATTAAATTTCACCAACACCATATTGACTAGTCTAATAATTTAATCAAACTTCTAGTTTCAGTATTTGGTAAGTAACTAAGTAAGCTTGGAATTAAACTTCGTAATTTATTGATTTGTTAAAGACAATCGACATACAACAAAATTTAAGATTCATTACATGGAAAGCAAACCTCCTGTTTCAGAAACAGTTGAACTGGGCAATTTTCTATCAAAAACCAATATCATTTTTGTCGAAATCGGGGTTTCGATAAAAACTCCCGTATTTCCTTAATTTTTTTTTTTTTGTTTTTCCTGCCACTTTTGAAAACTATTGAGAATTTTTTGCTTTTGAAACGTTTAACCATTAACTTTCCTACCAGAAAAGATTGAAGAAAATCGAAGCACTTACTCCCCCGAAACTCGGCAAAATTCATTCCATCGGCTCGCCCCGTGCGCACTCCTATGATGATTGTGGTAAGCGTTTTACACGGCGCTGCTCGGCATGGCTCGTGCGCACTATCTTTTCGGTCTTCATATTGCCTATACTAAACTCCTTAAAATTGGTGTGTTAGCAATCCTCTCCCCCCGCCGCAACACCATAATAATTCATCAAACGTTTGAGAACATTTTTCAAACGCCACATTGGCTACACTGAATTTTGACTACATTTTGAAATTTTGAAATTTTGAATATCCGTTGAAATGTCAAGCCTTATCACTGTTGATAGAAACGTTCTATGGCCATTCAAATATTCAATCATTGTCCGTAACTACAACGTTCAGTCTACAGCTTAATGGCGCAAAACCGTACTTCGATTGTTGTTTGTTGTTAAATGCCTACGATGATGTATGATTTTTTCTAATATTTTCTATTGTTGTAAACCAACGCTTAGTCACTCATTATTGTTTATTATAGAATACGAACAAGATATGAACAATTGAACAATAAGAACCATCGGTAATTCATTAATGCGCAATGGAGTCATCGGTACCCAATAGTAGTACGAGTAAGTATTTAAATTATTAATATTCATCGAAAATATACAGTTTTTTAATTAGAAATGGAAAGTCAGGAACCCCTTTTTCATTCATTCCGTTGTATATTTCGGAACAATTCTAGTTTAGCAACCTATCGAATTTTATTAGATTTTTTTCAATTTTTATTTTATTTACATCAGGTTCCCAAATTGTTCACGGTACAATCCATTTTTGATAATACTTAAATTGTGTGGTAATCACACATAACTAATGACCTTTATTTGTTTGTTTCATTGTTGTTGCTATCTTTGCGATAACTTAGTATGACAGTGACGGTGACAAGTAAATAGTTCACCTTATATTTATGGCTGACAATCATTAATAAGAATAAATCTGAACATTAATGTAGGTTCAATATTGGTAGTAAACACTACAGAAAACACTATCATATTTATTTGACTATATAGGTACTTAAAATATATCATTTCTTAAATATATTTTTATATTATTGTAATCTGTTAGGTATTAAATATTTTATATTAAAAAAAAAATATATATACTTCATAAAGTTAACCAGAATAAATCCATTCACACAACCTTTACCCTCAGACATATTCCTTGTCCTGGTATTGTTCTATACGGAATTCCAATTCCCTATTCTCCAAAAATGACATACCTCAACCTTACTTTAGATCAAAGATTAAAGTGGGCTCATCATATTAAAATCAAAAGATAATCTTTGAATCATCGTCTTTGCTTACATAAACCCTTATTATCCAATAATAATCACACCTCTATTAGAACAAAACTGCTTGTGTACAAAACACTATTAAAACCACTATGGACCTACGGCCTTCAGCTTTGGGGTAATGCGAAAAAGACAAACTTTTCAAAATATTGCGCTTAGAAAACTAATGGCCCTACGTGTCAAATCATACACTACACACTGACTTAAAACTTAACACAATAAACGATGAAGCTAAAATATTTTATAAAAGATTCCATTACCGTCTAAATAATCACCCAAATCAATTAATAAAAAACTTGGCCACTCCCTCAATACCTGGAATCCTCCGAGACGTCGGAAGCGTAANTATAATAACTCTCTTTCTCCAACACAAGCTTTGCTTAAAGGAGAAAGATAATCGAAAATGTTACTCAATAATAATATGTGTATTTGTGTCTTTTTTGATTAATAAAAAAAAAAAAAAATATATAAACAATCGTTCAACTATTTAATTACATACGCATAATTTATGTATCTTTAAATGCATGGATACAAACATCATCATTTTAGAAATAGTTTTTGGACTCCAGTTCTGTGCGATTAAATGTACCATACCTAATTTATTAAATATTTATTTTTTTAACTAATTAAATATATTTTCGAAACACGGCGTTATAGATAGACAAAACAGGTACACGACAGTCGATTGCTACGACATCCTCCGTGAATTGGATAATATGTAGTTAAAAAAAAAACATGAAGGTCACCCAATATACATATAAGTTATGGACTGGCGGACACCCCGGAACCGGCGACTCGAGGGGTGTACAGTGACGCCTCTGTTCAGAAGTTGGTCG